TTTTACGTTTTTTATTGATGCTTCTACCGGGGTCCTCTACAAAGCTGCAATGTTTTAAAAAGAAAATCGGTATTTCCGGGCTACCGAAGTTCTCTTTTAAGTAATCCTAATTACATGGTGCGACCAGTCTTCCAACCCGTTATCGCGTACCAATTTCATTGTAACTCGCGGTGTACTCTATGAATCTTCGATGGTCGATGGAGTTTCCCTTGACGAGAATAACACGACAGGACTTGAGGACATCCTGGCAGATACGAGCCGGGAATATCTGAATGGCGAGCGCGAGTGCCGCCTGCGCCCACGCGCGTACAAATTCTATCTCGTTAATTGCCGTCGGAACGGATTCGTCGTTAAAACTGCGTCTACACTCTATAGCATAACACATTATACAGCGAAGTTATAAAACTTGTTCGAAGAACAAAAAGAAAAATTTTATATAACGTGAGGTTACGTAACATTTTTCGTGTTGTATAGCAAGTTACATGTTATCCATCAAGTGTGACGCCATTATTAATAACGAGATGCGAAATGTTATATAAACTTGTCACGGACTTAAGTCTAAAATTATACCTAGTCCAAAAGGTATAATTTTGTAACAAGTTACAAAAACATGTTGTATAGCAAAATTATATAATTTGTTATACAGTGTAGACGCAGCTTAACGACGGCGATTCGGGGGCGGGAATGCATCATCGTGAATTGCCAAAGTTCACGTAAACGACGCCCAACGCTGTCGAGAACAATTAATCTGCCCTTTCCCGAGACTCGGAACAATTGAACCATCGTATATATTTTTAAACGATTTTGAATAGTTAACGAAACAACAGGACCTGTAAACATTCACTGGCTCCGATTGTTTCCCGAAAACGATGTTAGGTCTGTTGGACGTTTTCTGGCCGATTGAATGCATCAACGTTGCAGAAACACCCTGTATATGCGCGAACGTGCATACGGGCGGTTAGTCGGAGCAAAAGAAAACGACGCGAGCAGATGTTAGGGCAGCTTGCTAATTGACTCATTCGACGAAGTTCAAATACAAGAGTCAGCCTAGACGACGGCGAACAAAAAAAAGTGCGTGCGAAACAAGGCCAAGCGGGGTCGAAACAAAGCGATCCCTTAATTGGGAATTGGATCGAGAAACTGGAAGACGTCGCGGTTTTGTTTGCTCTTTTTACACACATTTTACTGTACCGTCATTTTATCGTATCGACAAATGAAATACACATACTCTCGTAAGTATTCAGACACCTGACCTGTACGAAGAAAAATGTGATGTTGCATAAAAATGACATATTCTAGGGCCACGTTTACCACTTTAATAATACCCTCTCTTCCAAATCTCCTTTTAATATCCTGAAAATAATATTTACTTCCGATATTCAGCAATTACGTAGTGCCTTCTACCATTTACTGTATATTCGATAAGTGTTCTAACACTTATGAGCAGGTGTGTACGTGTAACTTTTGTAACGAGAACGCGCGCACAAGAATTCGGGTAACCGCGATCGCAACTGCGTGCTCGAAAGTGCAAGTTCAAGTTGCGATTGCATTTGCAAATGTATTCGAAACTTCGCCTGTGAAAATCGCAATGGTAATCGAGTCCAACGCGTTACATGCTACCGTCGCAATTGCAACCGAATTCGGAAGCTGATGGACCTTCGTTGGATTCTTTGTCCGTGGAGCGCCGAATCCAAGTCGATTCACGTGCGGATCGATACCACGATATAACACTCACGAACGCATTAATAATTGTACACCCTGCTATTCTTGTTACCCTTTAAATGGAACCGTTTGATTCGCCGTGTAATCTGCGGGAATTCGTGCGATTTCACCGTCGACACGGAATCGTACGATTCCGTGTGGGCAGATATAATCCCGTACAAGGTTAACAATTATCGAGCACTATCGATAAAATCAATATCCCCTAATTGGGAATGTATCAACTAATACTGTAGCTACATTGAAACGCAAAGTTTTCTAATAATTGACGAATTTATACGAGCACGGTGATAAAGTGAAATATTATTATCAGTGGTTACTGCATCGATTTTGAAAGCGAGATATTAAATGAATGATTTCAAAGATAATATGTATTTTTTTTTATACACGTTTGAGAACCACTGACAATCGCACAAAACGCTGAGATAATTCTTGTCGCACGGTCCATCAGCCAAACGCTCACAACCGGCAAGAATTATTGGAGCAGGATAAACGCACGACTCTCGGAATAATTCTTGCCGTTTGCATCGTATGGCAACCCAATACCAGCGGCAGAAATTACTCGAGGACATGTATACACGTCCGAAGTGCACGCAATGAGAGAAAAGAAAGAAAAAAAAAGAGGGAACGAGATATATAACCAGTGCACGCGGAACAACATGACAGAAACGGCGAATATAATGTAGCAACAGTGATGGCAAAGAATACAGAAGAATGTAGATCACGGAGAGGAGATTGAGAGAGAGAGAGAGAGAGAGAGAGAGAGAGAGAGAGAGAAAAAGACCACGCAAGACGGAAGTATAAAAAGAAGAATAGAGAAAGGAAGACAACAGAGCGTAGATTGGAAGAGGAAGGGAAAAAAGTAGCATAACCGCCGGGGGAGAGAGAGGCGAAGTGGAGAATGTGTGTGTGCGTGTGCAACCGTGCACTTCGTCCTTGGACTTATATAACAAGGAAGAGTCTCTCTCTAACAGGGAAAGAAATATCCCAGAAAAAAACGAAAGATGGGGAGGGTAGATCAAAAATTGGAAAAGAATTAATTAGGAAACAACCGGAGTGCCTCCTGGTGATGACAAAGGTTCTAGGTACTTTGTACCGCTTTCAAAATAGTATGACAATAAAAATAAAAAAGTAACGCAGAATGACACGATAAAAACCGTTTCCATCTCCCAAATTTATGGAATATGTATATAAATTGTGTAGCATTGTATTGTAATTAGACCCCGTAAATTGTAATTGTAATTTAACATTTAATGAGCCTTTTATTTCGAGGCTGATCCATGCAGTTTCATTTGATTCCAGTTTTTTATAAACTACTCCAACAAAATCTGTATTTGAATAAACATGCACAGTTTAGTCTAGCGTGTAAATGATAATAAAAAATGAAATCTAAGATATACAAAATATTCTAAATTATGAGTGACATAAGTACCGGTGAGCTATTGATGACGTCATGATTCTTCCATCTATCTACCGATACGACATCACCACCCACAACAATGGTTTTATATCTCCAGATACATAGCAATAAGTATCGAACAATTAACAACTATTATTTAACAGAAGTATAAAATAATTATATGTAAATAAAGTACCGGCATCATAAGGATCCTTACTGGTTGCACAGAATGAAAGGGGGTTGAAAGATGGTGACGCAGGAAGAGGGGTTAATTCGCAGCGGCTTGAGGTAGGACGTGCACGAACGGTCGACAGGTGTCGCCACGTTGCAACGCACGCTTGACTCGGTCAAGCGATAATAATTCTCACGTGTCTCTGTCAAGCGGTACCGTGGCTTCGATTCACTGTACACGAGAGACTATCTAGGTTAAAGACACGCCGTTATACTATTGCGTAATGCTGACCGTAGTCATCCAACTAAACGACTCTCTCGTATGTCTCTCAAACGTCAAAGGAAAAAGCTCGCACATCACATATTTTTTCAACGAATTCACCTATCCCCGTCACTAGCACTTCCACAAGCCTATAATAAACTTTCAATAAATAAGAAAATTATGCTTTCTTACAATTACTACCTCTCTCGCCCTCTCTCTATATAAATATATATGTATGTATGTGTATACATAGGTATACATATAGAAGAACACGCGTAGGGATTGAGCCAAGAGTGGAGGGTACAGTCAAGATCAAAAGTGAGATGCGTGACATAGATTTGGCCGAGAGCAATTTTCACGGAAATCATTCCCAAAAGCGAATACTCTATTCGTTGGGAATAAAAGATGAATGGAAGATGGATTGAAAAGGAAATTAACCGGTAATATCATGGTCGAATACCGCGAATGCGGTCAGTGAACTAGTTCCGTTTCGACCCTGACACTGCCATTGCCCCCGGGTCATGATTTGTGTCAAAGGCTCAATATTGTTGCAATTTGTTTCCACAAGAATTTACTCACCCCTCTCGTTGGACTCCATTGCGCGAAGGCTTCTGACACCGTCCTGGACGTTGAACAAACGGAACCAGTATCGAGCGAGTAACACGTGGAAAATTAGTCTCAGGTCTCGGGCCGCTACCTCGAAATTCACCACGATATAAACATGGCCGGTCGGTCTCTCTTGTCACTATTATACCGCGGGGTCGTTGAACTTTTCCGAAATCGAGGGACCGTCGCCCCGTTACCCACCGACTATACAGCTTTTTTCGGAACACGCGAAAAATGGTAAAGCGCTATAGCTTGGTGCGTGCCACCTAAAAATAGACCGTGAATTCGGCGATTGTTTTGACTAATGGACTGGTTCGCAACCTAGTCGGAGGTGGCGCTACGAAATGGACACCTATGCAAACAACTTCCGTATCTTGCTGCTAGAGGGCCACGAGGTTTCGATAATTCTCGAAAGTTTTTTACATTTTCAGGATTGCGAACTATATGCACTTAATGTTCCTGAATGCCGCAATGTTCATTAAAATCGAGAAAAATTATTTTGTATTTCATTATGCAATCTGAAATAAAATTTTATGATGAATTTTGTTAAATTCATCGCTGTAAATAAAGCTGTATCTTCGGCAATTTACAAGTGTTAAATCATTTTGTGCTTGAGTTTTGCCTCTTACTAAGAAAATACTGTATTTTAATCACAATGTAACGCTATAACACACTCCATAATACTGTAACTATCATACAACTCAAATAGTTATTAGTTGCTCGATAGTAGAAAGTCACGTTAACAGGAACGCACCAATAAAGATGTATGCTTTTTCGATATCTAGGAACCTTTCTCGTTCATGAAAACTAAGAGCTGCAGCTTTAAAAAAATGTCCTGAATGTTGTTTTCGGTCGCTTGTTGAGTGTCACACGATTGTATTGTTTGTTTTGAATGTGTCTATATGTCAGACGCATATATATGCATTCATGGCAGGGAATGATATAAATAAAAACCTACGAAAATTAGATTTTCCGTATTGCGCTAGGGAAGCTTTATGCAGGATCGGTAAGACATCGTTTAAAAAGGTTAATTCTTTCGGCGTGTTATCTTTGTTTACACATCTGTTCACGAACTTGTCTGTTCTAAAGAGATACTATGCGGAATACCAGGAAAACGAATGGACCTGCAACTGGACTTGATATCAGAATTTGTGTTCGGGGAAATAGAAAGGCGAAAGAAACGCAACATGACTATAGCCATACAAGAATTACAGTTGATAGAAGTCCTAAGCGATTTTTTCCAAAGTCCGGGAGGAAGCGCTGCTGTACGGAATGCAGTCTTTTTATCCCTTTTCCCTGCAGATAGTCCCAGAAACAAATTACTAGGCAATTTAGTATCATTGGCTATAGCTACCCAAAATAAGGCCGTGTTAAATGCAACTGGAATCTGGATGCAACAGTTGGGTTCTACCTCCCTACAAAGTGTAGGATTAGCAAGACATGTACTTAATGACTACTTTGTCCTTACTCCAAAATCTATTGACAAACTGAAGCAACTTCCTGTTCTTGCACCACATTTCACTGCTAACTTACTAACGGCAATAGGTGAAGTTTATGAAGACAAAGATCCACCTACAGAACTGCTTAGATTAGTAGGGGAATGGATTGATGAAAACCCAAGTCTCCTATTGACCCCTTTAATGGATAATCCTGCCTTGCCTAGTGGTGGCATTCCTATGACACCAATTACACCCATAGCAGGTTTATTCAGGTAAATTGAATGAAGATTACATTATCCAACATAATTTTTGAGTGTCCCTTCATAGTATAACAGAGTTAAGCAAAATGTAATCTGTTTAATGATTATGTCTATTATATAGGATTACATCTTCCATGTATACCTAATGGGATAGATTACTATTATGTTTGTTGATATAAAACACAAAGTATAAAGTTGAATCTAATTTGTTTTTTCATTAGGTGGTGTATCTTATGTCCTCTGCGTCTAAAGAACACAGAAAATTGCCAGGAACAGAAGAAATTGTATTCAAAGATTCAACAGCTTCTTATGGAATCAGTATTAAGATTAAAAAATAGTGGAAACAATAAGCACGCAATCTCGGCGCAACATTTTGCTGCCACTACCCGAGCTTTAAGTAGCAGTTTAGGATCTCATTCAACTGCTAGTATCATATCGCGTGATTTAGCTATGGAACGACTTGCCCAGGCTATAAACGCGGCAATGTCTGCGAACTGTATTTACGGGAACAAACGTACGTACTTTTATAATATGCTGATTTGAGCACGAACTACATTGGTTAACCCATTATTTTTCCTTACAGAGGAATTGTTGGCTCTATTACAGCCTTTAGCGTATCAACATTTTCTCATTGAATGGACATTGCAAACTTATGCAAATAAAGCTACTTGATTAACAAATTCTCATTCTGACTTAGTTTCTCCTCTTTCAATCTGTACATATGTTCTACTGCAATAACATAACTGAGTCGTTAGTTCTAAATGTAAAGTAAATTTTTATGAAATAATAAATACCTATTCCACATTGACATTAGAAAACTGGTCTGCATTTTTTATATATCAAAATATTTTCCTTAGAAATCCTATTCTTTAATACGCACACCAAATTAAAATGGTTTAAATGTTCTCTTTGATTTTAAATCTTGTAATCTTTTCTTGTCTAACTCAAATTTCTTTCTTAACTCTGCCAGATCTGTAAAAAGATGATATCATAAAATACTCCAAATGTTAGAACTTTATATGAGTCCAACTACAATAATACAAAATAAAACTTACTCTGTTTTTTACTCTCACGAATTTGGAAAGTATAGAAATTAAGCAACTGTTTCTTCTTATTCTTGTGTTCTTCTTTGTTTTGCACTTTATTAATAGTTGATTCCTTTCTAGAGACAGCAAATTGTCCTCTCTTTTTTTGTCCAGTTACAGTCACCCACCCATCATTGTCTTCGTTGTCTTCTGCCATAGCTTTTTCGTTAGCTATTTTGTCAGCTAACATTTTGTCATAGTTGTTCATGTAATCTTCAATTTCCTTTTTCATATCTTCTTCATCAAGTATTGAATTATTATATTCTTTGTACCATTCTGTTTAATTTTAAGTAAACAATTTAAAAAAGACCTTTTAAGAATAATAATAGATGAAGTGAAATAATAAAATGACTCACTTGCCAAGCCTGTTAAGCATACACTGTTCTTATGATTTAATGTTATAATACTATTCTCAGGGAGTTCTAATGCTCTTTCCAATGCTGACTCTTTTTCAAACACTAGATATGCTGTTTTAAATCCTTTTGGAGTAACAAAAAAGACATTAGTAATATTCCCACAGAGTTTGCTAAAACCTGTCTGTAAAACCTCTGTTGTGACATAAGGAGGTACATTTAGCACAAACAATGTTCGTCCCCTTGGATGTTGAGGTTCCTGATTTCTTATGGAATGTTCTTTAAAAAATAACTGATGTTTGTCTGTGTTTTCTTTATCAAATCGAATCCATAGTGCTAAAAAATAAATATATAAATAAGAACCTGACCAAGGTGATGAAGACATCAGTTTAAATAGTGGATAAAGCAACAGATATGTACTTTTGAAACCTTTTGGACTTTGTTTATTACTCTTCATGAGCATTATGTTCTATATAACCTCTATATTAATTAATAACAAAATTGATTAACACTTCCTGTGTTAAATCTACTTATTTCTTTGGAACAAAGTAATACAAATCACTGATAACTTAAAGAAACGTCACTATTCCAATCATTGCATACAAAACAAATTGCACGTGAATCTTTGTGATGTCCCACGTGTATTTGTAGAAATATTTCTCCAATTTTACCGCTAGATGGCTTCAAAAACAAATTTATTCTCGCAAGACTTTTAATTCCTTTCCAATTCTCTTGGAGAACGGAAGTCCGACCAGGAAATGTAAACCCCTTTTCATTTTCAATTTTTTCATTTTTTAATTATTGTCCATTCAACATTTATTTTCAAATATGATTTAATATATATTTAAAATATAACAATTATAAACGATTATTTCTTCACAACAGTTTGGATAATTAATAAACTATAAAAATCTAAAGTATAATTAAAGATTTTGGCCATGCCGAATACACAACGTAGAAATTGTTGTTTATATTTCTTATTATATTAGAACAAATCATCACTGATACGGTAAAGTACACAATATATTCAATTACCGAATTATAGACCTCTAATCTCATTCTATATTTAGAAAGCCTATGTAACAAGCACACCATTTTGTCATATGTCAATATTTTCATACAACTGTAAATGTCAAGGTCACATGAGTACTCTTGAGAACACTATAGAAACAATTCTGCCGGTGTGGAATTACAATTCAAAAATACGGAACCAATAAGTTTTCAAAGGACTTTTTTTTACAAGATTTTAATAAAATGCTTACTGTTTTCCATATGCACGACCTGCGTTTCAATTAAAAATCAATAGAATAATTGAAACGTATAGTTACAGGCGACAGGGAAATATTGATTGTAAGAAAAGCAGCAGGTAACAGGTAACGTGTAACAGATATGTAGATATCATTCCAGTCAACAGAAATTGTGCGGTCGGATGTGAATAATGTTTAAAGAACCATTGTTTTCTTTCGTGATATTGTTCTCCTTGTTTACACGATTAGAAACTAAAATTCTTCGTGGACACCTGGTTACGCGTGAAGTAATACAAGCTTTAAATTGTCAAATTACTTCAATATATGTGCAGTTTGTGTTGTATAATATTTTTTAAAATCGTTTATCTAAATGATAAATTAATTAATAAACGAACCTACCCTCTTCTTTCAGAATTGGGCCTTTTTAGCGAGATTCTGCTTTCTAACGGAACAAGGTACGTTTCGATATGAATTTGAATTAGGAGGAGAAGAGAAAGATTTAAAATTATTGTTGTACTACGACGCGCCCGATCAATGGCCCAGCGTTTATCCTTCAAATAAAACATGTATCGAAAAGGAGGCTATACTATGGGATGGAATTGGGCAAATAGTACCATTATCAACACTTGTATCAGAACAATCTGGTTGTACCGAAGAAGATACAGCGGTTCGGTGTTCTAGCTACCGAAGGTTTCGATCGTCTCGTCCGAGATGGTGGTTCATCGCGTTAGCAGATTGTTCTTCAAACACTGGACTGAATATTTCGTATTGGGTATCGCTAACGAATGCACAGCATGGCAGTTTCTGGAGAGAACATTTCTCAGCAGATGAATTCTGTAGGTGACTCCGTTGTGGTCTGAAGTAGTTTAATACTTAACTGAATCTTTTTCCGCTTTCAGATATATTGCCAGAGTTGATAGCAATTAGTTGCATATACCTTATACTTGTGATACTAAGCTTTCACATTGCCGTGCAATTAAGAGCAAGACGGCTTTTACACGTGTCTTATAAAATATTTATGGCTTCTCTGCTTTGTCAATTGGTGGGAATACTGTTTGAGATTTATAGTTATATGAATCTTGGATTACGAGGAGTGCCATCAGAGAACGCTTCCTTGATAGGACAACTTTTAGAAGCCTGTTCGGATATTTTATTCACTGTACTTATATTACTACTTGCGATCGGTTTTACGGTAACAAAAAGTGTGTTAACAGCGAGACAAACTCGGTGGCTTGTATTCTTCGTTTGTTTCACTTCTTTCTGCCAGTTCTCGTTATACATTTACCAGTCCGATGTATTTGACCCTGGATTGGTATTGTATATTTATGAATCACCGCCAGGCTACATGTTAATAGCGCTAAAGATGATTGCTTGGATTGTATTTTCGCTTCGTTGTCTAAAGACGGTAAAAAAAATGTCGACAAAGCTTCATTTTTATGGTTCATTATTTTCCTTGGGATCAGCATGGTTTCTATGTCATCCGTTTACGGTATACATATATTGTATTATTATACACGACAGTTGCATAAAGTGCTTCAATTCCTCCACAATATAATTATAATTTCACAGATACTCTGCATTACTTTATTAGTAGACGAATGGATAAGAGAAAGCGTTGCTAAAGGATGCTCATTATGGATTGTTTTTGTGGGACATGTAGTATTTTTGTACATAACCCGACCATCTGTGGCTAACAAACGTTTCCCGTTTCATATTCGAACGTGTCAAGTTATGCCGATCGGTGGTGACGGACAGGATCACAGTTACGAACCCCAATTTAGGACGGCAAATTCTGCATTTACTATTTCACATCTACCACCGCCTATTTCCTATCAGTGAATACACTCTAAAACAGGTGATAATCAATGTAACCATGCTAATATAATAATTCTATTTTTATTAATGTTTCCTTATAGACTGTAAAGATAAATATGAATTTGCTCGCAACTCTGATATATACAACTATTCCTCGTATTAGAAAAGTATTTATGACAATCAACTTACTAATATTTTATATCACATGTAGGTCTCTTTTAAATATTTAAAGCCACGGGTGATCATAAATCATTATTAATCACAAGAACCATCAAGCCAGCCATCTCTCCATCTTTGATTGACAAGATTACAGTCGAATTTTGGTTTGCCAAGCTTCTTGTTTACTTCATTGTGAATGTCACAAAGCCAATGGCTCAAAATGTACTGTGACTCAGTCTGTGGTGGGGACTGTTTTAACTGTTCTTGTAAATCTTCTGCACATACATAACAGGGATAAAATTTGGAAAATTTGTAAAAGAACTGTTTCATATCTGACTTTTGTGCTTCACTTGGATGGTCAGGATAATATGCTGCCATGGTATGTAACAGTGACCATGTTTTAGAACCTAATTCATCCTTGTCCAAAGGACACTCATCACGTTTCCCCTTATTATTTATAGGTTGATCTTTCTCCTGCTTTTTCTCAGATTCCTGTTACAAAAAAATGTACAAAAGTACATGGAATATAACTATTAACTAGTACAATCAATTGTATAATTATACAATGTATTTTTTACTGTTTATAAACTATTAACAACGAATGACTTTATTCTTAAACACCTGTAATCTACTTGTATTGTACAAACATTTGCTGTTTTTAAATATATTGTCTAATTATAAAAAATATGAAAATATTTTATCATTGTAAACTGTTCAATTTAACCTTAGAATAACACACATGGGTCACATATGATCTCTGTATGTATACCATATATGTACCTCTATACGTATATCAAATTATAGAAAACTTGTTATGTACTCGAAGCAGATGAATACTGGGATAGATACAAATAACCCATGTGTGACACTCCACAGTCCTAAAAGTACATATCTATAGCACTATTAATTATAATTAACATAAAACTTTTAATTCAAAAATCGTTAGTTGTACCTTCTCAGATTCAAATGTCTTTTTCTGAATCTTTGCCCAGGTTTTGAAGTCTGTGCACGCGCGACAGGGTTTCTCATGAGACATTTCGTAAAAATCACCGAGTACATCCGTAAAAACGTTCAAAAAATCGTTTTGGTGAATAATATTCTCACGTGGTCAATAACCTGTCCGTTGAAATTGCAATATACCTGTTACACATGGAAATAAACATGTAAACATCTAATACATCATCTTCATACGGTAACACAAATTTTCTGAATGAACCGTAATTAATGAAATACAATACATACATGTATATACATATTCAACGAGACATCGATACAGTGTATAATATATACCTGTCCTGTACACACAACACCTTACGCCTCTCGTTTCAGATAAGAAACCGTATGCAATAAGAAGTTTGCGCAAGTTGCGTTACGAAAGAGAGGCAGTGGCAGAGCCAAGAGGGCTCGAGCTCGAGGCATACACTTCTCCCACGTTAGCGTACAGCAGCGTAGAGTAAAGAAACGAGGAAAAAGAACCGAAAAAAAAAGGAAGTCGTGCGACTAACCTGACCCGAGTGTAGTCAGCGGGTGACAAATGTCAAGTGCAGTTTTGACTGACCGCAAATGATACGGTTGTCGGTAAAGTTGATCTTCTGCATGGATGATGGCGAATCGTAAAAAAAGTAATGAATCTTCTCGGTCTGTGTCGAAAAATACAAAGTGGCACTTCGGCGAGGTGATGTTCTCGTCCTCGTCTTCCGAGGAAGAAACGACAACCGGATGTCGAAGTTGTAGAAATACGTCGAACGAGCATTTCAACAAGAAAACCACCGAAACCGACACGCAGCCAGGTTAGATTTCATTGTAATCATCACTTGTCTGACAGTCACCTTCAAATATTCTGTTTTTCATTGTTTCCTCCTAGGGCAAGATACGTCGCGACGCGAGGAGAATCCTTTCAGTTTCAAGCATTTCCTTAAAAACGGTTCCCAAAAAAAGTACTACAATGCTGGAGCTCGTCCAAAGGTTTATCCTTCTCCCACACCGAGTCCTAATAACTTGGAAAAGGATGCTAAGGTCTATTCCTGTAATCCAACAGAGCTACCGGATTTTGTGCAGGATCATCTAGTTTTAGAGCAGTGTTACTTGAATCATGAATCCAATCAGCAGAGTATTCCAGATGTAGATAATTTGCCTGACTTTGCTCTAAACAGTGTGGCACAGAGGCAAACCAGACTTAGAAATAAATCGAAATATAGTGAACCTGTTTTGTGTGATCTCCAATTTGATCTTACTGGAAATTTAGACAAAGAACTACCTCACAGAAATCAGTCCGCACCAAATGCAAATTGTTCTGCCCATTTAAATTTACCTATCCTTGATAGATCTAATATAGAAAGTACAGAATATCCAAAACCACCAGGTAATTGCATAATACTAGATTCTCTTATTAATTGTGGAACAAGTAGATTTTTCATCTTTAATTTTTTATTATTCAGCGTTTCCATTAGATTTGCCGATACTTGGAACTGAATCTGATGCAGGTCCCAATGTATCAGTAAGGGACTGTGCTGGACCTAGTGAAGCAAATGTTCCAAAGTCTTTACCAGATTTTTTAAATGATGGTCCCATACATAATAAAACAACAATATCCACAGATTCTGGAGTTGTTCCAAACAGTGTAGAGACCCCAGAAAGAAGGGTATGATTATTAACACTTTATTAACTAAAGAGCATTACTGATAGATGAAACTAAGCAGTGTCACATTAAAAATTCTTCCAGTTATTGTTAGAAAATGAAAGATTACGTCATGAGCTAGAACAAGCAAGAAAAGAAATTAATGATAAGACTAAAAGGTAAGCTTGACTATACTGAAAGTGATAAAATTAAATTGGATTACTTATATTTGGTGTGTGTATTACAGAATTCAATTATTAAAATCAGAATTGACCTCCAGAAGAGAAGTGGAGCATGAAGAAACTGCTCATCTTGAAAAAGCTATGGAACAAGTTGAAGACAATTTAAAACGTAGTACAGTAAGTATAAGATCATATTTATACATTTCACCTTTAATTGATTATATGATTTTTTTCGATAGAGAAGAGCAGTAAATGCTGAAAGTACTGTCACATCATTAAAAAGAGAGATTAAAGCTTTAATGGTTGGTATGAGATTTCATTTTCACCATAAAGTACCTGATGTGCAATTGGTACAGTATAATTTCAATTTAGGCGGAGATATCACAGTTAAGGCTGGAGAATACGGAACTTAAAACTGGAACTGCGGCGGGTGGTAGAACAAAGTGTGATTCTTCGAACGTAAGTCGAACAGTAAGAAGGGTAACCAATGATTTAAGGACTGCTGCTTCATCAGCAGAGGTATCGTTGAGGTAAGATCATATATATCGATTAAACACGACATTCTCATGTACAAAAAAAATTTCAATTATAGTATGTTAATGTACTTCCAGACAGCTAATGTCTGGTGTGGACAATTTAAGGGTACTAGCTTCTGCACTTGAGAATGTAGATAGGATAGAAGACCGGACCAAAGATTTTCTACCAGATTTCAACGAAGATAACTTATGAAGCTGCTGGTCTTGCACCTTAATATATTTTTGTGTCCTCCTCTGTCTGTACACTATCCCTTGTTTCAATTCTTCTCCTACGTACGACCCAGCCTATGCTACCCAGTTCCTTGAACTCACGCGTTGCGTTGAGTATTTTTTGTGGAGTCGATTCGTGATTTGATTCAATTGCAATGTATGATATCCATGGCATGTTTGTTGTATCTTGATGCATTGATGATATCACTTGTGTTTCAACTCGTATTACAATCACAGATTGTACACCAATTGTAACGGTTACCCTTGCTTGACAAAGAATGACTTTTAACAAGTTGACTGCCAAAACAAATTGATTTATTTTGTTCATGATGAAATGTCTGTTTAACATTCTGTAAATGTGGGAATTTCTTTTTTATTGGTTCGTAACGCTATTAAAAGTCGAAGTGACGGTCACTGCTGACCCCACGACAGTTAACGTGTTAAATGTCATTTTATTATCAGCAACAAACATGCGTAACAAAAAGTGGCTTACATTGATCCATCACAATATGGCTCCAAGCAAAGCATTAATAATTTTAACTTTTATACGTACGCTTTGTCGGAAATCTGTAAATGCATAGCACTGGTTGGGATTCACAGTACTATTCCGATTATAATTGTTAAAACAAACGATACTTTAATGGTCATTGTGACAATGTTACGTGTACAGTGTCAGATTACATGTTTCATTTCTTTGTACATGTCAAAGCTATCAATTAAGTGATTAGATTCAAAGCAGACAAGATCCTCCATGTATTTTTCTATTTAAGGGGGTACATGAATCTTGAGTCTACGAAATAGCGAATCTCTTAAACAAAGTTGTAATTATACGAATTGACGAACAAATATGGTTTTCTAAGCGCTGTATAATAGCAATATATGTACACCAAAATTTTTTTAAAAGTTGCCTTTGTATGACACGAATTGATTCCATATATAATTGAATTTGAATATTATATTTCCACTCACAGATACATACAAAAAATTAATTAAACCAAAAACTACAAAGGTTTATTCTAGTATTCTACTAAACTATTTTATACTTACAATATACATGTCGGTATTTATCGTGCGGTATTTATTTTGCACTTAAAACAACAGAATTAGAAGTTATTGTTAGTTAAAGGTTTTAAATTTGTGAATTTTACTTAATTGTTGAATTATTCAAAAAAGTTAAAATTATTCTAGATTTTGATAATGTTGTAAAAAACATATATACGTATTTAAAGCTTCAAGGCTTATTTGCCCCCTTAAAATTTAAATTGAATATTAAAAACACTTCTCTCAAAACAGCTTTCAAATTAATAGATTTATTAATAAGTTACATATAATAGAATTACATTGCCTGCAATGTGTATTTTTTTATTCTGGCAACATATGTATAAACTATATTTTAAAATTGTGGCAGTGTGAGCACTGTGAAAAAAATGCAGTATTTTGACCTATGCACATGAACACTCTATGAACAAATTGCATATACACAAGAACTTGAAAAACTAGTTCATAATAAAAGGTAAAAAAATACCAAAGTACCAAACAGTAATATGAAAAACTTAATCTTATTCTATAATACAGTGTGCATAAAATATTTTTCTTTAAAATTGATCATTATACTGCGATTCAGTAGACAAGAAAATTAAAAGTTAATACCTCATTATTGAAGACCTTCAAAAATACTAAGTAGGTCAGTTTGTGTTTCAGTGTGACTAGTCTGAGTACTTAACCAGGAACGGCATGCGCCCATTGATATGTTGCATCCAGTTTCACATATCAGAGATTTTGTTTGCGTTTCGGTAGAAACGGTAGTGTCCTCAAGTTGGGTCCAAGCCGTTTGCGTTTGAATATTAGATAATCCTAAGTCGGATGGTAGTATTTCGTCGCAAGTCTGTGTACACGTATTACTGTACAACAATTGTTCCATGTTGTCTAGATTATTCGTGGTTTGTGTTTCGATGTTAGAACTTAACGCAAACGATCTAGTTAAAGTATCCGAATCAAAGAACGATTGTGAATAATCTTGTTCAGTCTGAGTCTCTATACTACTGAATTTATCATCAAAAGTTTTGTCTGTAAGCATAGGGTCTGCTCTTGATATACTATTTGAAGACACAAAGGAGTATCCTTCAACAGCCGCAGACGTTTCTTCCGCATAAGGTAAAGTCATCAGAGCAACTGTACTTTTGGGAACACATTGTATTAGTGGATTTGTACTGTGCTCATAAAATGTCTCAAAATCTGTTTGGGTAACATTGTCGTTTAAAACTTCAAACATGTCTTTTTCAGGTATTGTTTGAGTACCTGATGTACTCTTTTCCTCCCAAAAGTCATGCAATCCAACATCGTCGCGAAGTGGTAATGGACTACTTGGAAATAAATTTGGAGATGTAAAATTGTCAAGATTTAAGTCTTCCTTCAACAGTGTGTAATCAGGATTTTGTGACACGCAATTTTTTCTACGTTTCTGATTCTTCAGTGAACTTTTAAACACTTGTGAAACTGTTGTGGTCTGTGTTTCCATAGACATAACATTCTGCCTAACTCTTTGGGAAATGCTTGTCTGTGTCTGTTTAGATACTCCACGTTTTCCACTGTAATGGTGGCCATTGCTAATATGCTTTAATGGACTTGATATCCTTTTATTTCTCTTATACTCATCTGTTTGTATACCAATGTCTACGGTACTTTTTTGTTTCGTATCATTATTATAAATAGATATTTTATTTTCCGTTTGATTTGTTGGTAGGATTGTAATCAGCTTATTTATACCAGTTGGATTGATCGGTAAAATTGATCGAATTGTTTTGGAATTTGTGCGTCTGTGAAAGTATTAAAATTGTGATATAAATGAATGATAATCATATTTATCATAAAATGCTTGTTTCTCTTTTTATAACCAGCTTACCTCAAAACATTTTTGTATTTGTCATTTATGGTATGCAAGGATCTCTTTGCATGTGTAAGTAGTGCTTCATAAGAAGTATAACTTTTTGAACAAGAACATGTAAACTCTATCCCACATATTCTCATATGACCTTCTTTAGCTGCTTCAGTGGAGAAACTTTTTTCACAACGGGTACACGCGTATGTCTTTTTTGCATGTACTTTAAGATAATGCTAGATGCATATTTGAATAGTACATTTCATAAGATAATTAATACACTTGTAACTCTCTGCTGAATATACTAACCTGTTTCAGATATTTCATGCTGGTAAAATGTCTTTCGGCATTCAAAGCATAAACGCAGGACTCGACAGGACAATGATACTGAACATTCTCTTTGACTGCTTTGTCTAAATTTTTACGCTGATGCACCTTAAGGTCGTGCAGTCGATATCGCGGCTCGTTTTGAAAGACGAGTCCGCATTTCTCGCACTTAACATTGTTTGTGATTACACTGAGCTCTTCTGCTGTCGGGCAGATACTTTTTACACATCTAATAGACACTTTTTCTGCCGGTTTTATTTCTTCCATGGGAGGTAACTTTACCGCGGCACTCTTGAAACAGTACACAAACTACCGCCGTTCAGATGACTGGCAATGACTGTCAATCGATCCACATACACACACACACACACCCAACCTATCCAAATTGACTATCGTTTCCCGTGCAGCGCCACTGTGTTTCAGCGGGTTAAATATACAGGCCGGTCAAAATAAAGTTTAATTTATAGGTATATATATTGCATTAATTTATAAATATCATTTTCATAAATATCAAATAATATAAACATGTAAGGTTTTTTTCATGAAGAAAGTAATTTACGCATTCATATATTTTCTCACGCGCATATGCGTAGCCTGCAAATACGAACGTATACGGACTTCCTTTGGATACATCCTTTCTTCACACCTTTTCAACTGAATGAAAATATATCATGTACCTATTTTTTTTCATATAGACGTAGTCTGTAATATTGTGAACATCTTATTACATTTTCTTTATGAAAAACAACATTAACACGGTGAATCGTTTTTCCACTTCCGCAGCTGTGTTGCTACAAAATTATTCACAAGTTCTTATCGAATATAAACAGATCGATCACATGCATGTAAAAACAAACAATGTTCGATGTTCACGACGAACATGTGTATTTTAGTGTTTTTATGTTCTGTTTAAAGTACCCAATAATACATTGAAAATGTTGCGTCATGTTTACATACTACAAAAAAAATATCCTTAATTAATAAACGTGGAATCACTAGTCTTGATAATCGAAATATTCTGCGGAACTAACTAAACAAACCTATGATCGGGTCGAGCCCTTATTTTCATAAAACCTAAAGCAAAATGTAGCTCGAACTACATGATCATCAATATTACATTTTGAAACCGATAAACATAAAAGCATTGTTCTAATATTGTGCAAACAAAATAAATGATGTCTTTCAACAAATTGTATTTAAATCCTTACAGAAACCTATTCTTCAGTCTAAAAAGAAAACGTCGCACGAAGCTATAGAGCCATGTCAATGAACCGTAATGTCGTTCAATTAAACACGGCTATACTAACTCACTAAGCGGGAAAATTGAATAACCAACGATTCCATTCTCTTGTTTGCGTGTATCCTCACTGTTCCATTCTCAAAATATACTGCACTATCGTATCATAATATGTATATTTTTAGTTGGTCGAATCAATAAATCTCTGTAAATTATATTTATCATTATCTGCCTCACGTGAGTCAACGACATACTACACCATCCACTCTTCAAATACTTTAACCTCTTCACAGATTTCACCCTCTTCATCACTAATTGTCCCTAATGCTCCGAAATTTACCAACGACTTAATACCCCCTTACGTGCCATAGAATACATTGTAGCCAGCTAAATAACTTACATTTATTGCGCGTGCAAGAATATCGATTTTTCGATTTCCTTCTGAAGTATTTACCCATATAAATAACCGTTGAATTTATCTCAGTAATTCAAAATGTGAATGCATTATATTGCAATCGTTTTTATCCATACATTTCATTAATGGTCTCGAATTTTGACACGAAAGTCAGCAGGAGGACATAACGTGGTCGAATTTGGAAGTGCAGCGGCTTTAAGGTCGTCGTACGCTGGATCGACACAGTCTGCTCCACTTCCAATACAGACGGACACGTTTCATACACACACGTAGGGACACATATGCAGCATCGAGTAGTGTCCGTAGCTGCTTTCCCAGATCAGTACCCCAGCACCCAGCACTGTGCGAGCGGCGCTGTTCGCTACACCGCCGCTACTTGTCACTCTGCAGTTACACGTCAACCGATCATCGCGTTCCCAGTCTTATCTTGTATGAGTGCGTACAGAATCTCTTGACAAAGACGTCACCGATCAACCGTTCCGAAACACGGCTTCGGAATTGCCGAAAATTCACAGTTTGTGAAACCATTGTCGCGCACGTTTCGCCTGGCAGCGCATCAGGGCTCGATCTTCCGACGTGCCTCGGATATTAACAGGGTTATCCTGAGGGTACGATATTTTCGTTGCGAATACTCACATTACTTACATATTCTATTGTGTTTCCACTGATATGAAGATGCATGTGCTTCGTATTCATTCGCTGGAAAAACGTTGCTATTGATTCAGGGTAGCGTGTACCTACAGGACGGTCAACAGATAGTTTAAAATTGATATTTTTATAGAGGGTGCGGCGTGATTCGCGATACAAATGAAACGGGGTGATTCTATATACAAAAGTATACATTTTTTTGTGTAGAACTTCTTGTTTAAGAAAATTGGGTCTGAAGATTCATTTGGTTTGCTTATAAATACTTGAGTATCATTTAGCTAACGTGTCTGTTTAATAGTGTCTATTTTCACTTGCATCGACGTTTATACGCTTCGACAGTAGCCTAAGTTATACTAAAGTATTCGTTTGTTTTTCTTAACAATTTGATAAAAACTAATAGTTAAGGGATGGTAACATCAATAGCTAGCAAATGTCATAGCGTCATCAAATTTCAATTAGAAGTTCATCCCGTTTTCGATTGTACTATAAATTACACAACACGTTGCATATACGCATTATTCTAAGTAGAAATCAATTAGCACGCCCATCTTTTGAACTATCTGGTAGCTACTGATATAGGTATTTCTTTGATTACAAATCGTACACGTGGACTATACTGTTTGGCACGAACAATTTAATATAGTTACGATTGACTAATGATAAATCTATCTTAATAGATAACGTTCCTTCAAATCATGTAAGAAACGTATCTGATTGTTATTGATTGAATATGTTTAATTCGACGTTCATTATTTACACTTGAGATACGACACTTATTCAACGATTAGCTGTAACTGTTTCGAGTGTGATTATTGGTTTATAAATAAAAGAGAATGTTTCTTGATAATATTTCACCGTTTCAAATACGTTTATAATTATTGGGGTCATTTTCAAAGACACGTAACAATTCGAACAGACAACGTCCAAAGCTATTCATACTAAATACACGTCGTCTTCCTAGTTGAACATCGAAATCCTCAAAATTCTACTCCAACATGTTTGCCAGCATTAATTCCGGCTAACTACGTAAATGGAATAACTGTTTCTTTGACTATAACATTCTCGAAAATACTCAATTCTCAGCGAGCATTAAATTTTTTTTCGTTCGACCTTCGCGTGACTGGAAATCCGCGGAACACTTAACCCACACAAACGCACAGCACACTCAATGCGTTCGTTTGGTGTTGCGGCAGGTATTCATTTGGACCATGAGCTGTGTGTTCCCTTTTTTTGAAACCGTGAAGCCGGATTAACAGACAGATATAATTCGATTCGAAACTGTCAGGTGCAAAAACCTGAAACTTTACGAATTTGATTTAAAACCGCAGAAAAAATACAGTGTTTTGTAGTGCCGGTTGCCGGTTGACGGGGTACAAGCGAAAAAGAGAGACAGATCTTATTAGAAGAAATGAAAGACACAGCGAATAAGAAATACGAACAACTATTCGACGATAATGAACTCGATGTCACCGCGGATAAGGGAATCAACGAGAATGCAGTACTGAAAGAGGTAAGAATTTTTAATTACGTCTAGTACCTATGTACTATGCAGAACTGACGAGACGATTAGTGGAATGGCACAGGAGCAAGAGGAGTATACATATAGGTATTCCGCTCGTCTGCGTGAGTCCGTTTGTGAGGCTCCTGTTAACCAATGGTCTTTATACTTGCTTTATGATTCGATTGTATGTGTGACGGCTTAGGCCAATAGTTCCCTAGAGCCAAAAATGTGTTTAAAGCGAGGTGTGTTCCTTCCACTCTGACCAATCGTACCAGCAGTCTTTCCGCTCGTCATCCCGTCAGTTCTGCACAGTACTTAATGTTACGTTACTGAACAATACTGAGCGACAAGTCACCGGAAAAATGACAATTTGCTGCTGATTATTAGCTAACACGCTTCACGGTCAGGGATTATTATGTCACATTTTCTTCGACGAATTCTAAAGATATCCTTAATTAATAAACAGGATTAAAGTTTTAGAAACAGACGATAACATGCAGAATTTTTAAATTATAATTAACTCGTTAACTGAGTGATGTAAACAGTACGATGTTCAAGGTCACAACTGGTCAGGTATTAAACATACAGACTGTGAACATTGTGCATACACAATGTGGCTGTTGGAAATATACATATATATTGTATCAATAAATTTATTAATACTAACAACTATACGATAGATCAATACGGACACACAATTTCTGGGCAACCTAACATAATAAAAAATTTACTTTGTATAAGCTAATAGAATTCTTAAACTTCACCGTAACCGTAGTACGTATCTTCAAATGTGCGGTATCGATCGAGTACTTACCCTGCCAACGGCACCTGCCAGGGTCGCTATTGTTACCTGCAACTCTGCGCACAGATAATACATTAATTTCTTATTAACAATCATTAATTCCTATCGATGGAGAAGAGTATCCTGCACACTCTTTGTGTTAGGTTTAACAATTTTCTAATAATAAAACACGATATATGTAGTATCTTTTCGGGGAATATACCCCAACAATCAAAACTACGAAATGAGTTGACCAAAGGTAACTACTACAATTATATGGCCTTGCGCGTTCGTAGAGAAATGGATCGATAATCACTGAAATGGAAAATCGAATGGTAATAATCCGTGAAGCATTCGAAAGATTGTCTTTAGTACCAAATAATAATTACTAAGCACATTAATGCTGCCTTAAGCAAATTGGAATATCTGAAATTTTAAAAGCAATTGATAATAAAAAAAATAGAGACCAACAGAAACAGTAAACTATAGAAATACTATCTACATTTTACTCTTTCCACTGTATCTATAAGAATAATTTATAAGGATCAGTAAGTAATCAGTATTAAAAAATTTGAATCCGTATTTCGTAATCGAAGAACAAACCTTTTATGTAGAGTCGAAAGTACTGGAACGTTGTTCCAGACTCCGAACGTCGAACGCAATGGTTTCAAACATAAATAATGTAGATCGAAATATACGTGCATATATATCTACTCGAGTATAAGTTATTTTGTAAATATGTTGCATCTGTAAGTAAATATATATTTATGTATACATATATTTGATAGAATACTTATACAATGAATACGCGCGTATGACATGTATAAATATCTTTTGGCCATTATACACTCATATCTGATGTTACATATTTTCTCAATCTGTCAAAATTTATAACAATGTTTACGTATAGTAACGTCTTCGAAAATGAAAATTCGATACATTAAAAAGCTACATATGCATTTTAATTTTGTCACCTTGATTCAATGTAGGTTAGGAATTTCAATGATTCACGGGCACTGTAAAAGAAATTTATTCGTGAGAAAATGTGACTAATGATATTTTCAATTTTTTTTTATACTTGCAGCATAAATATCTATCGATAGTTGCATACGTTGCACCTAATCTCTTATTGGTTACGTGTACTTGTGACACATGTACTCTTATCAAACGTAACATGCGACGCACGTGTTGTTAAACTGACCGTTAGTTTGATCTTAATTGCTGTTTTATTTTCTATTCATGATGCAAAGAAGAATATCGTATTCGTTGAAAATTTTGAAATCGGTGTATTGTTAAACTCACACAAAGTTGACATGAAGAATTGTACATATTTAACCATCATTACGAATAACAGTGTTCTGTAGTAAAAGTTCGAAATTTTACGTTCAATGACATATGCGTATGTCATGAAAACGTGGCAGTGAATTGCTTAAACACAGTGGCGTCTGTAATTTTGTCATAAATTTCTAAGTAGTAATTATTTAATATGTATGAAAAATAAAAAATCTACAAGTATTATGAAAAACAATGCTTTGTGCATTACTTAAAAATGGCTGAAACCTGTAGTTGAAGGTATAAAATTGTCTATAAATGCATATAAAAAATTGTTGATGAGTCAGCTGTAATAATACTATGTATTATTTGTTATTGTTTAAGGGTCCTAAGGATCAAAGCCCAGAAATGTGGTTAACAACAGCTGAGGCAGCTAGTCTTGGCACTGAGGAAGTGGCAGCAAGGTTGCATGTTGATGTAAGGACAGGATTGTGGTGGCAGGAAGCTGACCACAGAAAACAGTTAGTTGGTTTCAATGAATTTTGCGTGAAAGAAGAAGAACCAACATGGAAAAAATATGTTGAGCAGGTATCAGACACATTTAATGCAATATCAAGCCTTATAATAGTAAGGATGATAGTAACAAGACAATTCATTTTTTCAGTTCAAGAATCCTTTAATTTTGTTACTACTTGGTTCTGCTTTTGTTAGTGTATGTATGAGACAGTTTGATGATGCTGTCAGTATTACAGTGGTAAGTGTTATCTTTTATAAAATTAGTTTCAATATGTAATTAGATTCTAAAATATGACAAATATTTCCTTTTAGGCTATCATAATAGTAGTGACTGTTGCATTTGTACAAGAATATCGTTCTGAAAAATCCTTAGAAGAATTAAACAAATTGGTGCCACCAACATGTCACTGGTAAATAAATTTATGTTATACTTCTTAAATGAGATTTTTATTTACAATATCAAGTATCAAGTAAGATAGTATTTTCGTAGCATTCATTTAAATTAACATTTCCTTTAGAAGTATGGTCCTTGGAGGATATATTAACCCTTTATATGGAGCATTCCTTTGCCTTGTTAGGGAAGAAGATATAGTATCCAATTCCAAACAATAGATCAATAAAGGTGAAACTCACTTGTCTGTAACATCCACTTAAAACATCTTTGTAACATCCCATGTTAGGTTCGGGGTCAAAGTGGCCGCCTCTTACAAAAGATACACAATAATGTTACAGTATTAACAATTACTCTGTTATAGTAATGGTTTCACTGTCTTTTTCAGCTTACGAGAGGGCCGTTTAGAAACATTTCTCGCTCGCAATTTAGTTCCTGGCGATATAGTTTATTTAAATATTGGAGACAGAGTACCTGCAGATATCAGGATATTCGAAGCAATAGATTTAGCAATCGATGAGAGCAGTTTTACAGGAGAAACTGAACCAGCACAAAAGTCCACTGCGCCATTACTTAAGACTAATGGGTTGACAACAAAGAAGAATATTGCGTTTATGGGCACATTGGTGCGCTGTGGAAATGGAAAAGTAAGTTGCACGATGAGGAGTAAATGTGATACAATGCATGTATAAATAATTAAAAAATAATTTGTAGGGAATAGTTGTTAATACGGGTGAGAAGAGTGAATTTGGAGAAGTTTTTTCAATGATGCAAGCAGAAGAAGCTCCAAAGACACCTCTTCAAAGAAGCATGGATATTTTGGGCACTCAGTTATCCTTTTACTCGTTCTGTATTATTGGTATCATTATGCTTCTTGGCTGGATCCAGGGCAAAGCTATACTTGAAATGTTTACTATCAGCGTCAGTTTGGCAGTAGCAGCTATACCTGAAGGTTTACCTATTGTTGTAACTGTGACTTTAGCTTTGGGTGTTATGAGGATGGCTAAAAGAAAGGTCATTGTCAAGAAGTTACCAACAGTTGAGACACTCGGTATGTAGGTGTACAACATTGTTACATAACATTTATCTGATTTGGACGTATGTGTGTTAATACTATGCTACTCATGCGTAGGTTGCGTGAATGTGATATGTTCCGATAAAACTGGTACTATTACGAAGAACGAAATGACTGCAACGATCTTGGTAACTTCGGAAGGATACATAGCTGATATTACCGGGGCTGGGTACGACGATAAGGGGGAAGTGCGAATTCGAAAATGCGACAATTACGACCTCGCTCGCGCTGCAATCAGCAATATGTTAGAAGTAGGATGTATCTGTAACAATGCTATAATACAGAACGATACTCTGCTCGGTCAACCAACGGAAGGTGCATTGATAGCGTTAGCCATGAAATATGGAATGTACGGAGTAGCAGATAAATATTTACGGTTGCAAGAGTATCCTTTCTCTTCGGAACAAAAAATGATGGCTGTGAAATGTACACCGAAGTACGGAGAGGTAAAATAACGTTTCAGCGTTTGAAACTGAATATTTTAATAATGGTACTCGATACCTAATGTTAGATTTCGTACGTGTGTTGCAGAATAGGCAAGAAATATATTTTGTAAAAGGTGCTCTAGAGAAGATCTTGCCTCAGTGTACCAAATACTCAGCTAATGGTCAAGTATATTCTCTTAATCAGAAGAAAGATGAGGAGTTTCTAACAGAAGCCTACGAGATTGGTCAACAAGGATTAAGAGGTAATTACTAATACCGGTTACAACTTATACTTTTACTGTTTTCTTTGGTTACAATAATTTTTTTACAGTAATTGGCTTAGCACGTGGTACATCCTTACAAGATCTCGTGTATGTTGGTCTGGTGGGTATATGTGATCCTCCCAGACCACATGTTCGTGAGTCGATAACAACTCTTCTTAACAGTGGAGTCAAAGTTAAGATGGTTACAGGCGACGCCAAAGAGACCGCATGTGCAATAGGTATGATATACATGTACATATATTTTCGTTTATCACGACTTTCGTAAGTATTATCAAGAAAGTACACCACGTTTAACCTTCTGTTTCAGCAAGTATGATTGGATTAGATGTACTTCATTCGCGATTAATGTCTGGAGATGAGATTGAGTTGATGTCGGACCACCAATTAGAGCAATGTATTAATAATGTTAGCGTGTTCTATCGGGTCACGCCTAGGCACAAATTATGCATCGTGAAAGCCTTGCAGAGGGAAGGTAATATAGTGGGCATGACGGGTGATGGTGTGAATGATGGAGTTGCTTTGAAGAAGGCTGATATAGGCATAGCGATGGGTAAGAATGGTACCGACGTGTGCAAAGAAGCCGCGGACATGATTCTATTGGACGACGATTTTGGAACAATTATGTACATATTAACTTTTTATTTAATATTTATTTTTACATTAGATGTATATGTCTTCAATAATGTGTCCATTTTAGTGATGCAATTGAAGAGGGCAAAGGTATTTTTCACAACATAAGGAATTTCGTAAGATTTCAATTAAGTACTAGCATAGCCGCTCTTTCTTTGATTGCTCTTGCCACTCTGATGGGTATACCGAATCCTTTAAATGCAATGCAAATTCTTTGGATTAATATCATTATGGATGGTCCACCTGCTCAAAGGTAATTTAAAATGAAAACAAAATGTATTGATGGTAATTTACTTCCTATCGTAGTACTGATATATTAAATTGTTTATTACAGTCTGGGAGTTGAACCAGTTGACAAGGATGTTCTGAAACAAAAGCCACGTAACACGAAGGAACCAATGATTACTCGACATCTCATTATCAATGTACTATTGTCAGCCACTATTATCATTCTTGGTACTCTGTGGGTATATAACAGAGAGGTACGAAGTTCTTCTGTTACACGCAACGCATTTATTCCGACGAAGTTTTTAATGCCTTTTTTGTTAGATGGTAAACGGAAACACTGCAAGGGATACAACCATGACATTCACCTGCTTCGTTTTCTTTGATATGTTTAATGCCCTGAGTTGCAGGTCACAGGTAATAAATTGCAAAACTATTTAAACGTTCGTTCTTCCTAAACTGAAACTAGAACATTTCAGACGAAATCAATATTCACTATCGGTTTATGGAGTAATAAGATGTTTTTGGTAGCTGTAACGTTATCGGTAATAGGCCAGATGTTAGTGATCTATTTTCCCCCATTACAACGAGTTTTTCAAACTGAGGCTCTCACGGCAAAGGGTAACTAGACATTGAATATCCTGTGTGATTCACAATTCTGTCTGTTTTTATATATATTAATAAATGATATTTTATATTTTGGCAGATATCTTGTTCCTCGTCGCGTTAACATCGAGCGTGTTCGTAATTAGCGAGATAAAGAAATTTATAGAGAGACAACTGTACAGACGACGAACAGGTACACAATATTACAATAAGTCAGAGATGGATTTTGTATGACAGTTACAGTCTGCCGAAGACAAGGCGGACAAGGATCATTTGGAATAAACGCCCACCGAACATCGTACGGGTAGTAGTCGTTCGTTAATCAACATAATCTCGCTATAATTTGACTATGCTTGCACATTTGTCACTTTGTATGTGCACTTGTCACGACAAACAACCAATTCTCGCGCCCCTTTCCGCGCATTGAGTTAAGATTCAACCACAATGACTGGCGATTTTTTAAACATTTACAAATATTTCTGACTCTGACGTAAATGATAGTCGGTTTTTAGGCGTTCTTATAGTATTAGTCGTTCTCACTTCTCGTCTTTACGATGGTTATTCGACACGTCATAGACACTAGCGACGCTATTGCACATTCCACACACTCGTCGTAGGAGAGTACGTGAATTTCAAAGCTATAAACTACTGGTAAACGTATTTGTATTTGTAGGGGTACAGCATCGAAGAATCGTGATCATTTTAACACATTTTTCTAACTCGTTCAGATTAATGAATCGATCCACCACCCAGAGCACATCCGGTTTAACATCTTTCTTTTTTCGGGTCACAATGTTATCTCGGAAGACAATATCTCGAGTAATAAAAATATAATCGAAGAGACGATGAAACATAAGTTTATGACATAATCAAGTATACACAAACCGATTGCATTTAAAAATTACATTTAAGTATAATTGGATGAATAAACGATCTTGTAATGTTCCTTAAATCTATGGTGAAACCCGATGTGTTTCCGCTAACAAGAAATAACATAACAAAAAAAAAACAAGAAATGTACTGATAACGCACAAATAATGTACTAGGCTGTAATATATTAATATACTAAATGTTTACACGCGAAATAGTACAAAGTTTCTTGTAATCGGAAGCAGAATCGTGTATATACTATGTATCACTTTACAAGTAGTTGAACCATTACTGGTAGATTTTCGTGGCATTAATACTCCCTTATATTAATGGATCCCCTCAAGGGCACTATAAGTTTTGTATTGGTAAAGATCAGGACCTCCATAGCCATAGAGTAATTTTCCTCTGCCATTCTCGTCATAGTATGGATAGCGATATTTGGGCCTGTATACGATAATTAGTACATATATTTTGACTACTATTACTTTTATTCAAAGTAACTTGTGTAACGGTCGTAGTAAATTGAGAATTCTAAAGTTCATGTCCCTCACCGTTCAAAGTATTGAAAATTGGGCGCCTTTGGCTGAGCTATCGTCGCCTCGTTCTCAGCAATCAACCCCAGAAGAAAAGCAACAATCACCGTTGCAAAGATCACGGTCGTCCACTGCGAAATCAGGTCGATTAACGTTAAACGTGTCGAAACCGTAGCTTGACAAAAACGGTGTCGTTAGTACATAGTTGGTAACGCGTCTAAAATTATACGTGATAACTTAATTGCACCGTTACTAGAAGTACAGGTTCATGATATACCTACAGAACGAATAGCGAAGATAAATGATAAAAAAGGCGAAAGAATTATTTTCATTTTCGTTTACGAAATATTTATCACATTGAATATTTTATGGTAAATATTGGCAAGATAAAATAAATGTGCACCGGAAGGGGTCAAGCAGTCACCCACTTTAACAAAATCGTTCCTTCTTTAGTGTTCTTATCGTTACGCGAACAATTTTCACGGTATTTAAACCATTTTTTCAATCAGAATTTCATGTTTCTTTAATTATAATACGTCATTGTACTCACAGAAGAAGCCTGTCTTGCCATAACGCTGACCGCCAGGAACGAAAGTTTCGAAAGTTCGTCGATATTCGCGTAACAACAAACAGGGTCTGGCTTCCTACCGAAACTAGGCCCAATGGTCCCGATCGCGTAACTGAATTGGTTCTCGACGAATGGCAAGAGACGGTGATACACTACGGCCCGTACGATCGGTCTGTTTCCGTTTTTCTGACTCCACCTTTTGCCAGCCTTATCCGGGAATCCGTTACCGTGCTTCTCCACCTATCACCGCTCCCCACCTTCGTTCTTCCTTCGACGCCGACCAAGTGAAAGTCGAGAACAGGTTACATTGTACTTTGTACAGTTGTTGCACGTTTGACATCGTGACGACGATCCAAGGAACCTTGAGACGTACACACGTTGCATCCCCTTGTTCCCCGAAATTCGTCGAAGGTCGATTACGCGACGACCGGTGACGAAATTTCTCAAGGTCGAAGAAAGAACATCGTTTCCATATTGGTCGAGTTAGAACTTACGCCATTGGAGAGAAGTTGCGGGGAGAAAGAAATAGAATCATTGATAATGTATATTCTCAATTTATTTCGTACAATTGGAAAGATCTCTTGTACCTATTCACTGTTTTATAAAATACGGGCATAGTTTTAGGAGTGGATTATGCTCATTTATTTGACTTATATTTTTAATTATTATATACGTGGTCCAATTTTTTAATGTCTTGTGTATCCATTTTTCATGAAACGCCCTATATAAGTTTACATCGGATCAAAGTTTATTGCTTTTTCCAGGTCACCTATATTACTCTCATCATTCTATGTTTTTATGGTGAAGAAGTGACCATGAACAATCCAACTGTACTTACTATAATACATCATACGCCTTATTATCAATGGAATATAAGTCTTAAACGAAATTGTACATTGATTTTCAGCCTACTTCTATTTACAAATCATTAACTTTTTTTATAGATTAGTTTTCACGCGGGCGATCCCCATGGTCCTTTGTACCCGATACCCATGCCGATCTTCGCGATCGCGATGTCACCGCGACGGCCATTTTCCTGCTCGTATCTGACTCTTCTCTGCTTCCCGACTTCCGGATCGAAATCCCATTGTGTGCGCTGTGTGATGCAATACATATATATACATATATCGGTTCAGTCTTACTTGCCGTGTTTTCATTACATTTTTTAGTCATTTTTAATTTCTTTTTTTTTTATTTCATACAAGAAACTACTTGCCTCATGGATGATCGGTACCCCCGCTACGTTGTATTGAACGAGGTCGTGAATAAATGAGAAAATGCTAACTGGATCGGCGGCTGATCGGCATTTGTCGCTGTGAAGTGTCAACAGGACGACGGTCAGAATCACCTGAAATGAATTAACGTATCGAACGAAAGGTACATTAAGGCAATGCAGGGTTACGTAACCGTGCAAGTCCTGATTCGAGCGAGTGCTAAACAAAAATATCTCAAGAATTACAGTCAATTATTAATGGCCATCAATTATTGTTATTATTGTACAAACAATGTTGTTGAATTGCATTTAAATTTGTTAAAGAGTCTGCTGTAGGTTGTTTCACTTCAATGCAACAACATATCACTGATCATTCCTAATTTTCAATTGCTTAACTCTTAACTAATAACACGATGTTGTTAACTATTGAACTAATCATTGTTCTAACAGTTTCATTAACTGATTCCTTTAGTGTATTATTAAAATAAAATACTCTTTAAGTCGTGTAACTGTTAAAATAACTTTCTATTTATATGACTAACGAAACGTCGAAACTACCAAATTACGATGGAAATTCATGTTGATCCAACTCGCGACAGCCGCGCGTAGAGTCACGTAGAAGGATAGACCTGTGAAGCGATGACGCCGTGACGAGCGTGGAATACTAACTAAATCTCGTCTGTCTCCTCGGGCACGCCAAAGTCCGTGTACGTAGAGGAAAGAAGAAATCAACTGGACTCTGGCGCAACGTCGTACCCAGTGAAAGTAAAAAAAAGTCCGACGGCCAGGATAACGAGGCGCGAGCCGTTTGAAAGACAATGCTGCGTTTCGTTCATCGAATGACAATTCCGGATCGATCAACGGTATTCTATGCACGATACCCTCCCCCACCCCGAGAATATAAAGGTGACACTACGGAATGAACGATGGAACTCTTCATTCCGTGTCTTCCTACCCGGACGTTCTAACAGAAGCACTAAAAAAAAGAAAAACAAAAAAAAAACACGAAAAAGAAGTATGCGTTTCATAATTCTTTCGTTAATATTAGTAATCGCGGTAAGTGGTCTGTTGGTGCGTACAAAAGAAAAGTTAAGCGTAAAAAAAGCTATTCGATACATTTTTATTACGTGTACAGATGTGCATAGCGGTTGAGTCTACGGTTCAAACGCGAGTGGCCAGGACACTGCCGTTCGATTTGTCTCCCTCGAGATGGGCAGGGATGTTCCGGACACTCTGGTCTGGCGGAGGACTCTGGGAATGGCCGCGAAACAGCATCCAGGGACTTTTACGGTTGGTAGCCACGCCGGACACGAGAAAAAAGATGACCTTCGAGTTCAGACCTGACGATGGACCAAGAGCATCTCACGATTACCAGAGACGTTACGGACACCGTGGACAGTGGTTGATAGACTTATTGGGTTCTGGATTTCATCCTGATGCCATCTTTCGGCAGCCTGTGCCGGCCGCCATCTTGGTACCACCGCCGCTTCCTTTGTGATCACTCTGTTTCGCGCGTATTCCAGCGAAGTACGGATAAGTGGAGTTACAAAGGATAATGTGATTAATATGTGTGGCGTGTCAGAGGTTCCTGGATCGGAGTACGGCGCTTAGATCGCCCGTACTTTAATGTAGTCTATGGAAAGCTGTGTGTCCCCTTGCCTCCACGTGCTCAGCCAGTTGTTCTCCGCTTGACAGAACTGGTATAACGCCTGCAATGAAAAATGCATTGTTAAGTATCGATTTGATAATAATTCAGAAGTAGAAGCGGTTGGTGGTACCTTTGAGGCTACATTTCTCCAGGGTTTCTCATAGTTGCCGCTTATGGATCTGTCGGGGAAGAGGACGTGTCCTCCGACTGCTACGCCCACATTGAGATAAACCTGGGAGTATACAAACAATTAATTTAATAAAATCTAAAAAATCAAATACGTATTTTTGATTCGTACATAGTTAATTTAGAAACTGATTGATAACATCGTCAAACGTAATAGCCGAAGGGAAATTACGTTTCTTTAAGTAAAAACAGAATGTTTATGAACAAATAGCAACTACTTACTGGAATATCGTACATAGCCGGCACATTTTGTACTCCATACTGTTCGCCATCAACTTTGAGAATGATTTGACCGTTCCTCCACTCGAGTTCATATACGTGGTAATCATCGAACCACGGTGAAGTCGAAATCTTCGACGGAAGATGCAATCGATTGTCTTGTTGATTAATGTTGCTTAGATTTATCACGTGTACGCCACCCATAAGAAGATGACTGCTTACATCCTGACCGTCGCGCAGTCTCAGCGAAGGATTGCCAACCGAATGAGCGATTATTATGTTGCAGAAGGATGACATGTTTGAAGGTTCATCTGAGCTTTCTAGAGTGATCACTAAAACAAAAAGGTGAATATTAACGTTATCCTGACCTACGCGAACAGGGCACTGATCTTAGAGCCTGAATTTCACGATAATAAATGTAACGTACACGGATATATCCAATCACCACGCGGTAATTTAGCCCGAATTTCGATCTTTCCATACAAAAAGTTAAAAGACGGCTTAGTATTCAATCGTCCCGATGCAATGGGAGGTAAGATGTTCCAGCCAAGCGCGGTTCGTTTGCAATCCCTGGTATCGATTTCCCCGGTACACCTGAAAATACATCGAATAAATGAAACGTCGTGAGAATAATATAAACAATACTGTTTCACTAAAGAGTAGTATTCATACTTGTTCAGAACCATAGTACCATCCTGCACGAACTGATCACCGAATTTATCTTTAGTGAGAACCGGTTTAACGTGCAACGCGCCATCCTTGACGTAAACGTTGTCCTCGTCGTTCAGGTATACGACAAATTCAAGGTTCTGAAATAAATAAATAAAATATTTTTGTTATCTCTGTAATGAAAATAAGACTGATCCACGAAAAGAACGGTCCACGTTTATATTTACAGTAGAAAAAAAGGCCTTCCAAGAACCGGTTACTGGGTACTTACTGGAGGATTCGAGAAACGTTCAATGATCTTCCAACGATTTTTATCTAGTGAATCGAAGTTCTCCTCGAATATTAATTGACCTGAACAGACGTTGTTGCGTCTTAATTGTTGAGTCTTCTCGTCGCGAACATATGTCTTTGTTTCTGAAGGTATCAGGCAACCACCGCTTGGTGTACTGCTCATTGGTGTTCCATCGTAGTTGTAAAATTCTAAGCAGTGTAATATACAAGATAAAGGCGTAACTGTTATGTCCTAACAAAAACTGTTTGATATTGAAGCGATCGTCACGTAATGGTATATTTTATTCTAGAAACATTTCGGAGAACACCTTTTTGAAACGATTCAAACGGTCTGTGTTTCACGGGAACTAATTTATGTTCTTTTTTTTAGAGGAAACCAACCAGTGACAACGTGTTGTTGATCGAGTAAATTGTAACCGAGACGATCGTAGACTACATGGACCCAATAATAAATCGTATCGCCAGGTTTCAGTTTAGTGCCCCGATCCTCGTAAGTCCAACGGCCATTTTTTACTTTTACAATGTCCCTGGCGATGGTCCCGGCCTCGAGACCTTCAAAATCTTCGTTGAATTTTACGTGGTAAGCCACCAAAGAGATTCCATCCTCGTCTGGAAAAAAAGGATTATTTCAATTGTTCGTTCAGTTATTATTATTAATTTTTCAAGTTGTAACATTGAAACTTTGAGATATTGATCATTTTGTTTTTTGACAAAATCGTATCACAGCAAAAGTAACGATAACGATTCGGGTTAGGTGAAGCATAACGGCTAAATAACATTGATACACGGTTTTGCTAGTTGTGGGAGGATTACGGTATTCTCTAGAGACAACCATCTGTTCTTTCAGATATACCGATGGAAATTAAATTATAAAAGTTTTTAATTTCTTGTTTAGCTTCTATGTTAAACGCTATTTCTAATCAAGGGGATTTTCATAGTTCTTTGAACAATGTCTCTGCAATTATCACTACATTTCACAATATGTCAAGCTTTTCCTCCTTCGATATATATTCCGTTTCTTGTACTCGCCGTATTGCTCAACGATATTAACATGACTATTGTTATAGGATGATGTATTTAACTTGAATTAAGATTAAAACAAAGAAATGTCTACTTACGGGGAATTGACATCCGTAGACCTTTTGGATAAAGCGGTTCGACGGTGGGAGTAGGAGGAACATATTGTGCCAAGTTTTCCTGGAGAACGTTAAACAATAAAGCAACGAGAATCCACTTGATAGTTGTGGCGGTCATGATTGCATCTGATGACTTCGCCGGTTGAAACGATACTGAGGCGCCTGGGACTGGCGTTGATTATATTGCAAACAGGTTTCCCTATAAATATACATATCTTGTCTCGATGATACTGAGCAGTTCGTAGTGAAGTAGCATTTTAGCTCTTGCGATTTGGTCATTGACGCAAAGTATTTTATTTGTCGAATCGACGCAGATCCTCGCAGAAACGAAGACCATTCCTGTACAACTCGTAGAGGATGACTTATCTGATGTGATCGGCTGAAAATATTCATAAATTTAATCCCCAAGCATTGTTAATTAATAAATCTTATTTTAATCATTCCTATTACACCAGGATGTTATAATTTTTTATGGTGTATGTATTCTTGGTATTTTTCTTCATCGCTACTCGGTCAATTAATAGTTAATAATGCGGCAATTAATATCTTGTAGTTGATATCAGTTTTGAAGGCAACATATTTATATTAAATATAAAATTTGTAAACGGTGGAGGGACTATCAATGACACTGTCGTGTCATCTCACGGTAAATTTGCGAACTAATTGGTTAGTAGCTTGAGCATTTTGTTGTAGATGGCGCCACACGTTTTTTAAAACTTCATTCGCCATTTCGTGTAAAAAATTAAATATTAATTAAAAACACAACTAAAAGTTACTTATGCAAAACACAGATTTCTAGAGATTTGATAAAGCATTCACCAAACACCAATGCAGAATATTTGCGATTTATGTTTTTTGAATCATTAGAAACAGCATCGAAAATGTTTAAAATAGACGGCCAAATATCTTCCGGAATTGCAACATCGAATAAAGCGCCATACATAGGTCATTTCAGAAACTACAATAATCTGTTGATAAAAATGAACCGTATAAAAAGTAGTAACCGTACTTATCATTCTGCTATTTTGTGGTACAATAATTTGTTTAGAAAAAAGTGAAATTTTAATGTGAGAAATGCGATGAATTTTATTTCCAAATATTATATTTTCCTAGCTACTAAAATATTTCAAGTCTAAAATACACTTTCCCACGAAAGAAGGAAAAATGTATGTCTATTCCTTTACTAATTCCTCGTGTAGGACCTTCCTAGATTGATCTGGTCTATTTTCTTCGATCCGCAACTACAACGATGAAAATAAATTTTAACGAAGCTGATAGGTCGCATAGGATAGCCCTAGTATTTCTGCCAACAGCATACAACATTAATAACAACGATCATTTTAATCGGATGACTTTGATTTGCAATTTATAAATTAAACAGGCTAATTCATCTGTTAATTTATTCTTCGGAGCTCCTACATTTTTCGAGATGTTAATACTAAGCCGTGTAAATGTTAACTGTATAATTCTTGACATATTAAAATGGAATTACTCGTTAATTAAACAAATATAATGTTGTTTATTTATTCATTTGGCCAATTATACCATTATTAACAAATGCCATTATAAAACAGAAAGGTCCATTTAGAAATTCAATGAAACACCTAAGCTGCTAACTTACGGGACACCAGGTAGGCACGATACGTGGCAAAGGCGGTCTTCTTATTATTTCCGTGGCTTGGGATCGCGCCTAACAATTTACGCGCGTACATTTCCCGCGTGGCTTGGGCGTAAGTGCATGCGTGCATTGGCCCCCGCGGTTGTGTGCGTTACGGAGGATCAGCTGAGCGCCAGCTGTGCTCCTCGTAACGGCCAATGAGAGACGCGCTTACGGTTGCACAGCAGCGCCACGGATGTACTGCCGGTGCGCATTAGTTTCGCGTTCCCGCGAAAGCAATTCGTAAACGCTAGTCCGCGATTTAAAACCATCATTCTGTGTACATGTGCCGCTATCAACAGAACAAACCGACAGCTTTAAGTGAGCAGTGCACGGTGGATTCGAGTGTGACCTTAAGTTTCCTCGGTTTTGGTAAAAGTTGTGGTATAATCGAGCGGGAAATACAGATGCGCAGTACGCGTGGGTGCTGTGACTCCTCGGATTTATGCATCGTCTGTACGCGTTATTTCGCATTTTAATACGAATGTATCATACTGTAGCAGCAACATACGATTCTCCCGGATAATATACGGTGTTTTGTACAAATTTCCGTGACATTTTCACACGGAAAAACGTCGTGACAAGACGGGCGTCTGTCAAACGACGCCAGCGTTACACCATGTTTGCATAGTCGATAAATTCAATGCATAGCTACAGAAATACCAGGATTTTTGTATTGGAATTGGATAATTGAACCTTGAAGAGACACTTTTAATGATACTCGGTTGTTTTCCGCCCTATTGAGGTTATGGTGTATATATAGAGGGCGTGACTGTGGCAGATTGCAAGCAGGGGTTGGTCATCGTTTCGCGCGCTGGTCTCCCGCGCTTCGACTTCCACGTCCCTTAATTTTCTCAAGATTTACCGTTCTGTGATATTCTGAGGCATAAAATAGCATCAGAAAGGATTACGAGGAATTTTCGTGTGTCTTAATTCGTTGTAAACAAGAAGTTACGATATTAAATATTGAATCAAAGGCAGCCAAGTATACGTGCATTATGGCGATCGGCTGCGTGTGAGCTTCGCGCGCTCTTTTACTTTTCGGCCTTTTTCCTGGGAAAATTCTTCAGCATACGCTACAGAAATACAGTGGATGTTCCATCGAGGTGTCTGCGAGTCGTTGCTTAAATTAAAAAAGCCTGTTCGCGTTGGGAATATTTTCTGAACACGTCGACAATTCTACGACAAGATGCCACAGACGAGGTAAGCGAACGACTTTCCATTTGGTCCTGAAATTTCGTTTTATCCTCTAGATATTTCGCCAGAAACACTTCCAGTTTCTTGGGAATTGATTCATTTAGTCTGAGAAATCCATTGCATTACCTAATTGAGAAAAAAAATGTAAAAATATGCGTGTATAACCTTTTTTAGTGGGCATACGCTTTTTCGTAGATTTATGGGTATTTCGTTAATAATATATGTACCAATTTTTATTAAATGATTTATGAGCCATTCATGGGTTCCTATAGTAGTATATGAAATATGTACATGATATGTACAAAGTTGAAAAAAATATTAGACATAATATAACGTACTTCTTTGATGCATTGTAGAAATGCTTTGATTGATTCTATTTCAATGTTACATTTTCTTTATTATTTTTAAACATGTATTTGAAGGTTTTATGAGAACAATATTAAAAAATGATCTTCTTGGTGTATTTAGTTTACAGGGAAAAAAATCACAAACTTATTTGCAAGGAGGCAAAGTTGCAACACAATCTTTGAAACGGAAAAGACGTACAACAGAGCACTCTGAGGATTCGGAGAATGTGTATCCTCCTAGTAAAATACCAGCATTGTCGAATGTATCATATACAGAGTCTTGTCAATCAGTGCATTCATTGGAAAATTCATGCACATCTCATCAGGTATCTCCATTGAAGGAGCAACAGGAGCCAGCCACATGGTCAGAACTACGAAATGCCACTTGTTTCCTGACACCATCTTCATCCAATAATATCACAAACAGACCTAGTCCTTTGCCTTCCTTTCCATGGGCTGATGGTTCCCAGGTCTGGTCTCTCATGTGTCTGGGAGACCAGAAGACTGTTACCCAAAGGAACCCTCAGATGTTTCAAAGGCATCCAACATTACAACCACGTATGAGGGCAATTCTATTGGACTGGTTAATTGAAGTCTGTGAAGTATATAAACTACATAGAGAAACTTATTACCTTGCAATGGACTACATAGACAGATATCTGTCCATTCATCAAAATGTACCCAAGAATCAGTTGCAGTTAATAGGCATCACATGCCTGTTCATAGCTGCCAAGGTTTGTATTTGTTTGTTTTTTCTCTTTTGTTATTCTTCAATTAGAGAATTGAGTTCATGGAACTAAAATATACATATATATATATTTGTTTTTTTTTTATATACAGGTTGAAGAAATATATCCCCCCAAAATAGCAGAGTTTGCATATGTCACAGATGGAGCATGTACAGAAGAAGAAATTTTAGGAAAAGAATTGGTCATCTTGAAAGGTCTTAGTTGGAATTTATCTCCCATTACTGCTCCTGGCTGGCTTAATATTTATATGCAAATTGAGTCGGGTGATTGGTCTAGACCAAGTGCCTTTATCTACCCTCAGTATGGGGGTCTACAATTTTCCCAAGCTGCTCAAGTTTTAGATCTAGCAACTTTGGATGAAGGAAGTTTAAAATTCCCATATAGTCACATAGCAGCAGCAGCCATCTATCACACACAAGGAAGGGAATGTGCCTTGAGGGTGTCACGCATTCCATGGGAGCAACTGGCACCCTGTGTCAAATGGCTCACCCCTTTTGCGATAATAGCAGCAGAAGAAGGTTCTCAGTTCCTTTTAAGGTCTACAGTACCACCTGTGGAGTCTAATTCTGGGTCTGGTCTCAGGGCAACAGTGCCCAATATAGTGATGGATGAATCTCATCGTATCCAAACACACGTAGTCGACTTGAACATGTTAGAAAGGGCACAGCAGCGATTAGCTGATGACATCCCGTCTGTCGACGCAACTGAATCCGATTCTAATACGGAGTCTGGAAGACAAAGCCCAAACGATAGCGGCCTTTTAACTCCGCCATCTAGTAGTCAGAAGAATTCTACAACACCGTCACGTCCTCCGCCACAGTTGCATCCATATACATAATTATATATATGTACACTTCATTCTTGAACATGAAGTGGTCTGTTTACCAACTGTTGGTGAATGATTTTAATTAGACACTATAGTGTGTATGTCTACTAGGAGATATCGTTTCATTGCTTCGAATAACACTGCCATCGTGTAAATTTGCACGTGTGTTACAAACTATGGGATCGCATCCGTGCACGGCAGATACGGCACGTACTGTTAATGTCGTATATAATACGGTGCTTCTCTGTATAAATCCATTGTTTCATGCAATGATACTTCTATTTGTTGTAGTAAGACTTACAGTACAAGGTGTTAACCATTTTCAATGGTGTCCGAAAGTGGCACAGAGTTAATTTAATTTTACTTATTTTATTATAGACGTTTAAAAACAAAAAAGTGCCTTGTGTGAAGAAACGTAAACTTACATGATGGAAGCCTATGGCTTAATTTCTGTGATTATACCCCCGCAGTGAAACACGATGCATTATATTAATACGTTAGGGTGAATTATCAGTTATTAATACTGCCAGAAATTCAGATTAGTGCCTTCAAAAGTGTCCTTAGAATGCAACTGTTTTTATTAGTGTCAATTTAAAGGAGAGCATTGTGAATAGTATTCTTTTATATAATTCGCTTTATTTTAACGCAGCGTATTATAACAATGCGTTACTGAGCCGGGTGAATGTATTTCTATGTATATGTACATTGTGAGGTACTGTTAATAAGTACACAAAAAAAATAAAGAATAGCGGAGCGGGTGCGAAGGAATGAATGCATGAGCGATAGATAAGACTACTAATTATTGAATAAGAAACTTCGTGATCGATTTACACTGCCTTGCATGTAGTGACGCGGCGGTTTATACACATTTATATGAAAAATTTGACAATAAATATTTGTAAATCTCACATTTAAATTGGAGATTTTTCTTACACAGCTACATTCTTATTAACATCTTCAATGTCGAGTACAACGAAAAAAAAAAAAATTACATTATGATACAATTACAGAATCTAACCAGCAATCTCGTGTAGTCAAAAAACAGTCGACGATTGTTCGTATGTCGGTGTCGGTATTATCAACCGCGAAAACGGCCAACAGCGCCGTGGCGATTCCTCGAAACAAACAGTGACGCCTTGCCATTGGTCCTCTCGTCCGCATTTGAGTTGTCAAACGGCAGACGTCCGTTAAGAAAGCGGTTGCGGCGTGCCAAACATTGTAATAGTGACGGTATCGAAGAGCTTGTGCGTGCAATTTCGTCGAATTTTAGTTGTTTACTTCTTCTAATATCGCACCTAATCGACAATTATTGAACGTGACGTGAAACGACTACAAAATTTGGCGGGAATACGTGCTTGGAGGAAATCGTCTCTTTGTTCGTTACGTCGTATAACAGAGGATGTGAATGCTGACGCCGATCATTTTCAAGGGTTTCCGATTTGTGTACGAAACGCGTTACAATTCAACACAATACTCGTGGATCTGAATTTTTCGGTAGTGGCGAATGCATTTTATGAAACTGACAACGAATCTGTAGCAAGGATTGTGTGATATCGTCGGAATGTCAAGTCCAAGGAGCATCGGCGGTTCGGTTCGTGAAGGCACCCGAGTGGTGCTTCGCGAAATCACCGCATCCCTTCACAATTCACCTCCGATGCAAACGTCACGAATTAAGGTATTCATACGTTTCTCTTTTCTGTACTTGATAACTCGTATTTATGCACGTGATCACAAACACTTAGCTACCGTCAAGCTCGCCGTTCTTTTTATGCCGTTCCTTTTCCCCTCTTTCTCCTTGTTTTTATTGCTAACAGTCGCGAACAGCCAGAGAATCCCTATAAATAAACCTTGAATCTCCAGGAGCACCTTGAAACCGAAAATAAGTTTCGCTTCCCGCGGAAGAACATGTATTTGACATTCGGATAGCACGCATGCTCGTAGGAAATTCGAGGAATTATTTTTCGTGAATGAACATTGATAGACGCCCAATTTTTATTATACATTACATAAGGTATCTTGATAAGAACTATTAAGACTTCTTTTTCTCGAAAATCCACAGGCAGTAGAATTGCTTTTTACTTTGGGTTTATACAAAATAGTCTGTCAGTGATGGATATTTTACCTTTCTAAGATTAAACTTTTCGACATATAGAATGTATATTCGAATATGTTTGAATTTGTTTGCTCAGGGCCTATCGCTACACATAGTATTTTACTGTCCCCACTGACAATGTTTTTCGTGAGAACAATGTCTAATACTTTATGACACTTACTGCTACGACGACACCTGGTATAACTGTATATTAGTAGCATATTTGTACATATCGTAATATCTGCCACGCGCGGCGAATTGTCAATTAATAGGTTACAGTTAACCCCTTATAGTATACACCTAGGGCCATAGACCTTTCGTAACTTGCTCGCGAAAAATGTCCGCGTTTTTCGCACGCATGAGACAAAAACTGGTTTATCTCTTAAACCGGTTACCGTCTCTACTAAATTTTATTTTCCTGCAAGAATGTATAGATTTATGCCTTTTAGGCGAAGTGAAAGCGCTGTAAAATTTATACACGCTATCAAATTAGTGCAATCTGTTTTATCGATCGAATGATCGGCTATGGAAGAGGAAAGTTTAAAAACAATTCTTGAGGTTGATTGTAGGAGAAACATTATTAAACTTACAATATTCGGTATCTTCTATATCGCGTCGATCTAATCTACTGTGCAGAAAGCTTCATGGTGCTCGAATTACGCATAGCTATCTCCAATCGAGTGAAAGTGTCGATTAATAAGGATGAGATGGAGAATATTCAGTATTCTCACTGCACAAGATGCATATCATAAACAAGAATGTTAATTCTACATGAAATCAAAATGTAATCCTTTTGCTTTAGATATTTTACGCGTTTAGATATCAAATATAGATACCTGTTTTTACCTTTGGAAAGCTGGAAAAATGCTCCAACTTTCTTATCTAAAATTATATTCAGTTACATTCGAATCGCCCCCATTTCGATCCACTTTCCACGAACAAAGGCACCGGGTAACACGGCAAAAGGTATTATGAACATAAAATCGACCCGGAGCTGAAACGGAGTAATGCAGCCTTACACTATCAGTGGAACCCGCATCAATCAAGGGTCTACCTTATGATCTATCGTTCCCGCCAACTACACATCAAGGAAGTGCATACAGTATGTATTTCCTTTCGCAAGTTGCGCGGGAGAAACTGTACAAGAATCATTTCTGAACCGTTGACACGGGAGAATAGCTTTACGATCTGTCGTATCGATCGAACAATGATTAATTTACCATCACGGCAGCGAAGGGCTTGATTAACGGGGTGTCCACGTGTTACTCCAGATAGCGCCACTCCGTTACCGTGGTTCTCGCGTGCTTCGAAACCGTGTCCCACCACTTCCATAGTTGGTGATCTTTGTAGCATAATGCCCGTGCGGCGTGTGCGCGGTTCGACGTTGGAACAGCGGTGTTAAGAGGTAGAGAGCAAGTGTGTTAGTACGGTTATTATCGTGGCAGGACATTGGCGATGAATCTTCCGTCGCCAGCTGTCTTACATTCCGACCTAGAAGCTTGTTCCATGTTGGAGCACGAAATCGTCCTGTCGAAAGGTGAGCCGTGACGCTGCAGCGTTTCGCCAGTATGTAATCATCGCGGTTCTCTGGCTGGTCACTGGTGTGGTGGTGGGTGGTGTGCGCGCACAAACACACGCGCGCGTCCATACACATCTACATGCGTGTACGTTCGGTCGGTTCGTGTCGCGCGTGCCAACCCAGTGTGGTAGTGGTGGATGTCTAGAGTATCGACTGGAGAATGCGCTGCGCTAATATTAGAATTTTAACCAGAGGTATCCTCGGTTGATGATCGTCGGGTTCGGGTGAGTGGCTGCTGTTACGACAGGTCCGTCGCGATGACGAACAGACCGCGAGGCTCCGTTTCCATTGCTCGGACCTGGTTTCTTTCTCGTGTTTTAACGTCGTTCCATCGAATCAAACGTGTTCGATCGACGACGTATCCATACAACGTGTCCCGTTTTTGATCCTCGAGTAGGCTCGAAGAAATTGAGTAACGAACGGATCATAGAGAGAAAGACACACCCCTCCAAGTAGTGTCACACTCTCTCTCCCTCCTTCTTCCTTCCTTCTTGTCATCGCGGCCAGATGGGAATGACTCATGCGGTGTGTGTGTGTGTGTGTGTTGTGCGCGGGGTCTTTCGATGATGTCAAGAACGCGCCGAATAAGGAGACTGCAAGCTTCTCGAGTTTCGAAGGGAATTGCCACCGATTGCATATCGGTTCGCTCGCTCCAATGCATCGGACTCGAGCTGCGTGCTCGAGCGTGTACACGGTTGGTTTATACCGTGGATTAGCAAGTAAAAGCGCACGACACACACTACGATTCGTCACGGTCCGCGGATATGTCCTTATAATGCAGAATCGAGTAGGCAACGTCAATCAGCCTGCTCCTGAAGATATTACAGCTTGTTACTGTCGAGGCGTTTGTGTGCGAGTCGTGTCCTTTTTGGACAAATTGTTTCGACAGCGTTACACAGCTGTCAAGGATCTTCTTACTTTTTATTATTCAGCCGACCAGCTAGAGGTCCACCGAAAGGATACGACTTACACCCGGAAACGTCAACAGACATAATCACGTGACGCCGGATCGTGACATCCTCGTTTTAAAAACCTGTCAGCCTATATACTATTCATGCACGTTTCCATACTTTCTACGATCGATTTCCTGCCAGTCCCCGCGTCGTAGTTTTTCGCGATGCACTCGCAAGAATACGAAGGACAATTACATTCTAACGTTCGATTGGCCTAACTTAACTATACCAGACAATGTCGAATCCGCTGAGAAATCAAAATTTTCGCAGGAAGGGCACGGAAGCAACCTGCTACCCGAAATGTTAACAAAGTGTCTGTAGATGAAGTGCAAAGGACCCTCGGACTCTCATACGTGTTCGTATATCCCACGAGGCTGATGCATGTCAAAATCAGCTGACAATGAACGATTTCTCGGAGTTACGTAATACAAGTGACGAAAGAACGAAGAAACCGAACGAAATGTTTTAGTTCAGCGGTACACAACTGCCTAACGTAAATACTAGTACATAGTACGCATTGCTGCGATGATTCTTACCGATGGAACCATCCATTGACCCCCTACAGTACGGCAAGAATTATTCCCGCGTATACGCACATGCGAGTGCTCGGCAGCGTGTACAGGATTACCGGGCGCCCGCGGTTTACGCGTTGTTCTACTTTCTAAATGCATTTGTTACACCTTGTGAAAAAGCTGTCTACAATTCCCGCAAATGCACACGATGATCGAACGCAATGGAGGAGGTACACCGGGCTGCGTGTTAATTACCATTTATCGTGGTCCGTTTGAAAACGAGACGATTGGGTTAATTCGTCGAGCACGCGGGATACCCTAACCTGTTATTTAATTGGCGCGTTCTCGATAGATGAATCGGATGATTTTTCTTTTATCCGATTGTCCTACTGTTAAACAGAACGATAAGGTTGTACTATGAAATTACGGCGATATGATCCACTAACACGATTAGAGCGATAAACAACCAGCTGGAGAACGGTTTCCCCGTGTTTTGCTGATTAATTGAACGTTACGTCACTGAATGCTTCGGAGTCAGTGAACTGGAAACACGCGTGTACGGTATTCTCGATTTGTTGGACACGAGAGAAAGGGACACGATGGACGAATGGGGAGGACTGGGGTGGTGAACGGGTTGCGCGCCGCTCTAAAAATGAGCAGAGGAAAAAATATACAAAAGCGGGATTGGGGTGAATGGCAGACGAAAGACGTTTCGTATCGTCGGAAATAAGCGTGTGTCTCTTCTCGGGGGCGAGAGGGCACATAGGTGGGGAAAGCAAGAAAGAAGTTGGCCGCCGTGGGGTTCCGTGACACCCGCGTGTAAATATGGCCTCGTATCGGCCGCGAGCGAGCGCCGAAAGTGGAGGTCCTTTCGGGAAGACATGGGGAATCTCGTCCATAAGGTAATCCCGCAACGAACGTCTCGTTTTCCACATTATATACATATACGCTCGCGGAGTCGTTCGGCGATCGATACGCCGAAGATTGCCCGAGCTGAAAAATTCCCGCGACCGTCTCCGCTTCTCGAACCGGCCGTCTGCGAGTAATCACCGTGTATTCGATGGTCTCGGGTTTGAAATTAAATTCGAACAACGGTATAACGTATATTTTCCACGGGAGAGAGAGAGAGAGATCAGTAACCCTCGGAGACAGAGTGGACTTTACGGATCGAATAACGTTAGACGAACTGGTTTCGTCGGAGCAGAGAGGTCATCGTCGGTTTCGAAACTCGGTTTTGGGAAGATAGGAATGTCTCGCGAGAAGCCAATTTCTTTGAGCTGTTCAGGAACATTCGTCGATTGTATCTTGTCGCGATAACTCGATCGAAATTACGATTCGAACGAGGACAGAACGGAACTCCCTAGAGAACGCAAAGAACCGTATCTTGTACGTATTTACAAACAGGATTGACGGTACAATTAGTCCCAAAAGGCGATAACGATCAACCACGCTTGCTTTCCGTTCTTCGCTCGAATTACAATTCGATTGCCTTGCGATTAAATTCGATACAACCACGATAAAGTAGTTCGATCACAGGAGGAAACGCTTCTTCCACTTACCGTGATATCACATCCGCGAATCCGATTCATCGGACGATTCGGTCCCCGCGAGTACGATCTTTTTCTCTCGACAACGCGAGCCATCGCGTTCGCTCGTAACTGTTCTCTTGGCATCGATACCGACGGGCGCCGAGATACTGGCGCAAGATTCAGCAAAACATAATTCCTTCCCTCGCCCGTCCGTCCCTGTATATTTTATAATTAGTCGCAGCGGCGAAGATTGTTGCGCAATTCCTGAAAGAAATCCACCCGATGTTCGCGCGGTTCGGGATCTCGTGGTCAGCTGATTATGGCTCAGTGAACGGCGAACTGGCCCGATAGACACGCACATTGAACAAGGGGGTGTTTGACGGATTAAAAAAATGGAATATATCAATAAGTTACTGCAACGCACCGCCGCGAACCCGGCAAGGACGTCGTCGTCCCCGACACCGGTATATTTTCCGTGTAACACGACGTCCTATGTCACGAGAAAACTTGCAGTTTTTGACTGGTTCTGTGTTGTGTGGAATGGATCGAAAGGGGAGGAGTGTGTATTTCCGAGCTATAGTTTCATGGATTTCGTAAAAGTGTACATTATCATCCGGTGCGAATGGAGTTTGAATGACTGAGTATTCGTTTGGATACGATTGTTATACTTCTTAGATCATAGAACTAATGTCCACCTCTGTTTTCTTTTCGTCAGAGCGGCAACGACAGTTTGCTACAAAAAACAACAGCAGCAGAGCATGAGGTGAAGGTCCGTTTCGCCCGGGAATTCGCCGACGTCGGATCAATCACCTACTCGGCCCCAGAATCGTCTCTGTCATCGGCTAGTAGTTTCCAGAGTCTAAGCAGCACTCTCAGCACAAAAAGCAGCAACGGCATATGCCCGGACTCGTTGCCCGTGAGCCCCAATGAGATCTGGAACAAGTCCTACACGAACACCACTATACCGGGTGTCGAAGACCTGATTCTCGGTTGCGCGGAAATACAGATCAGGAGCGAAGAGGACCAATCATTCGAGACGCTACAGAACACTCAGGATCTTAGTCAGGATCAAACGTTCGCGTCTGCCACCGACGAACCGATTGCCGAGCTGACCAGAGATCTAATCGACGACGTCTCGCCGTTGGACTGTCCCGAAATCGTTGAGGCGATCGATGTCAGCACATCTAGGTCGTGTTCGCCGATCAGTGGTACACAGGATTACCAAGATCGACCGATTTTTATAACTCCCGTGATACAGACAGAGGAACCAATCGAGAGATCGGTTTCCCCTAGTACAGCCAGTGACCTAATCGATAGCGTTCAAACCTGTACCTCCGACTACGTCGACGAACTTCCACTGCCACATTGCAGCACAGAGGAGGCTAACTTAAACTCCACGGTCTGTTTGTCATCCGTCAAAGAGAGCCCAGATGCTCCTAGCGTCGATGAACAGATCGTGATAGAGAATACTCATCAGGTCCAGGTTGACCCCGTTACTGTAAATATCGTATCGTTCTCCGCGGTAGACTTTGTGAACTCGGTGTCCGTGTCGACAGAACATGCAGAGGACATATCGTTGCCTAGTATATCGACATTGCCATCGTTGCATTTAACCGACTCGACGCGATTATCCGAAAGCGACGCCCACGAAGCTGGCAATGAACATAGTCCATTGGTGAGGTCTTCGTCTCCTGTGAACGATTCTGAAAGCGCGACCGAGTTACCGGAGAACCTACCGAAGAGTCTCAAACAAGAAACCGAGGACGTAGGTAGTAATCGTGTAGAAACGATTTTATCTGATCTTTGCGATGACAATGTCGTCGCTATCAGCAGAGAAAGTTGCACAATTTTATTAAACGATACTGCTCCTCCTGCGCCGAGCACACAGGAATCCGAGAACGAGGTTTCGAAGTTATGGAGGAGTCCCTTGGAGACTGAAAACGACAAAACCAGCAGTAACGTTGAAGTTAATTCAAAAGTAGATATCCCAGAGGTGAACGTTTCTCCTTCAGTCGAGAAGGAAGTAGAGAATACTGAGTCGAATGAGCATTTGGATGATAAAAGCGCAGACGTATTAGAGAAAACAGATGCGATAGAATCGGTGGACGAAAAAGAAGACGAAATCGAGAAGGAAACCCCCGAGGACAAGTTAGACAGGACACTGACTTTCGAGAGTGTCTCTTTGGATTCGGAGACTGCATTGGATGCAGAGCAATATACGGAATTTAAGCCACAGAGGCAAAGCACCACGCTAGTTTTACCCACTGATATCGAACAGCCGAACTTCGATGAACTGCAGTCGGCTGCCGAAGAGATCGCCAACGATATTTGGAATTCATCGTTGGAGTTCCCAGAAGAGAGTGACCGTTTTATTAGCGCAACATCCGAAAGTGAGTACCGTTACCATTGAAATTTTCACTTCGTTAACACGCTAATATTAACGACGATTATTATTTTCAGTATTCCAAGATCCAACCTGCTTCGATTTTCTAAGCTGTCAGGGTAATTCTAAAACCATAAACCGTCTTAGAGCGGATTCTTTATATGTAAAGTTCGACCCATTGGTTGGGGATACCAGTATGTTGCCCCAAGGAAACACAGACACTATTAATGAGGAGCAAAATGGAAAAACTGAGAGCCCACCACCAAACATCGTTACTCCGAAACGTAATCCTGCCATAGCGGCTATAGACAGGCTACTTTTTTACAGCCCAATTTCTACGAGCATGACACAAAAAATGGACGAACCTAGGGAAAAAATTGTGAGTAGTTGTTACAATGTACATATATATATATATACATATTTAGAAATAATTCAGGAATCGACCATTGTATTAAACGGGTTTGTACAGGAACAGTCTGCAGAGGAACCAAAATCAGACACTCCGCTAATTAACGATGTTAATTTGAGCAAAGAGTTAGAATTAGTTAGGGCAACTGTACTCCAATTAGAGGACGAACTGGAGAAACAAAAAAAAGAGCACAAGGCTGAATTGGAAAGACAAAAGAATTCTTTCCAAGAAAAGATTAATCAGTTACAGGCACAAATAGCGCAGGAGGTAAAGAGTAAATCTCAAATGACGTAAGTTATTCGTTACCTGTAGAATATTCTGTTTCTAATATAGTCTAGATAACTAGGAGTATCGTTCATAGGGTCGTAGTTGAAGAATATGAAAAATCGATTAGCCGACTGCTCACGGAGAAAGAAAGGGACCGCACGAGTTTCGAACAAGAGAAGACAAAGATACAGGATGAACTACAAGCCACAAATGTTCACTTGTCGAACACAGAGGCTGCATTCAACGATGTTCACCAGAAGTATGAAAAAGTGAAAGGAGTCGTATCGGTATACAAAAATAATGAGATAGTGCTGAGGGAAAGTATCCAGGAAAATATGGAGACTATAAAGTGTTTACAAACGCGGTATGATAACTTGAAAAATCATGCTACAGCCCAACTCGAGAAGTACGTATCTACGTAAGCTGTAAGCATAGCATGCAGATACTTAACACATTGCTTTATATTGAATATTTCAGGGCTAACTCTGATTTGGAAGTCATACGGAAACAACACGAAGACGAAGTAGTAAAGCTCCACGCCATGGTACGAAAAGCAGAGCTTAAAAGTAATTCGCTAGCCGAATTGGTCGAGCAAAAGACTAAAGAAAACAAGGAACTAACGCAAATATTGGATGAGGTGATCGCCAGGGTGGGTCACCAAAACACGGAATAAAAACCGAAAGAATAAACGAGTATCGCGGCTGCAATCGCGATTAGTCTTTATTTTTTTACTCGCCCCCTTAACGTTTTAGATACAACCGTATACCAGATATGATTCATCTATGTATGTGTATATGTATACATGCGTTGTTTCTAAAATTAATTGCAAATTACGTTTTTGTTTCAAAGAAGCACCTTTTATTAATTATTTATAAGTTGTGAAATATATATATATACTATTTTACCGCTAATAAAAATAGGCATATTTGAAACAACCTTTCTCGTTTATGCAGTAAAAAAATAGCTAATACTTCACACATTTTTTTTTTTGTATTAACAGTCACACATTTGCGCGTCGATAAGTCTCCACGCGTGGTTTCGATATAATACATTTCAAGTATATCTCTTTATATATTTCGTTAAATAAAATTCACTGTCCGTAAGTGTATGCCATGCCGACATACCAAACGATAATTCGTACTTTAAATAACGACCTTTGCGTAAAGTTGAGTCAATTTCTTGGAATCTAACAGCGGGTGAGTATTGTCAGTCGGTTGGTCCCGCGTCGATTACGAATAAAACATGATGTTCCGCTAGTTTTAACATGCGATCACTAGTACTCCCTGGCTTGCGGGGAATATTTCTATTCTCAAGATCCGGCATACATTTCTTGATGGTCCGCGCTAAATTAGTAGCATACTGCTTGAAGTGTGGATGAGTCATGCCAATTCCTTTAGTTTTTAAAGTTTCCGCTACTGCCCACAGTAGTTTCTAAAAAATATATATATCTATATATATATGTACATATTTTTCATCATACTTTACGAATGCTTGTTGAAAAAGAAAAACAAGGGAATTGAAATTAATTCACAAAATACGCACCTTTCTATGCGCATCACTAAGTTCGGTTCGTCTTTCAATTAAAGATGTCTTATTCTTTTCAATTATATTACTAGATGAATGCCTATCCCACGGAGATACAGTATTATTAACCAATTCACGGGTGCAGTCAAAGGATAAACTCTTTGGCCACTTATATCGTGGCCCCTCCAATTCTTCCTCGCTTTTCCTTTTTCTTGATCCTTCTATCTTTTCCATTGCATCAGAATCATTTTCCTTTGACCCACTTGTGAACAACGCACGCTTAATGCTCTGAGCGTTCGCTCCAGTTGAGAGTAACTTACTCGGCCCCGCTCTATCGGCAGGTGGACTTTGAAATAAGGCCCGCTTCGATGTCTCTATTTTTACTTTTAAAGGGCTAGGACCGTCTAAAGCGAGTCTTCGAGCTACTTTTTTTTTAGTTGAACTCCTGGGGGTCCCCCTTGGACTCTTACACCGTGGACTCTTCCCTCTTGGACTTTTTCCTTTCTTAACAGTAGGTTTCCTAAATTGAAGGGAACAAGGATAAATTTATTGTTTAAATTAAATCGAATTAATAAACCACGGTGTTATAAGCTTAATTACGTACTTAATATTTAAAACTAGAAGTTTTTTATTATTGAGCGCTAATCCCTGTAAATTCGCACTAGAGAATGTTTTCCGCCTCCGCGTCAAATGACTTAGTCTCTTCCCTGGACTTTGACCATTATTACGTTTAGCTAAATTATTTCGCTTTTTAGCACTTCCTGGTGCATGCTTAGAGAACCATACAGTACAAGTAGATTGAGTTTCAACCCCTATATATCTTTCACATAATTTCATTGATAGGCTCTGAAACTCCTCCACTGCTCTACTTCTGTTGTAACTAAAATATGATTGAATGTATTATAAAATATGTTTATAGTTATATGTAGAGAGTTGAGCTGTATAAAATGCTTATGTACTCACTGAATACCATAACATTTATGACAATATGCTTCAGGCCATGTCAGATCAGCAACTTCTTTCTCATCAACAGTGTGATAAAGAAGCATTTGTTCTAATGTAGAACTGGAAAGTGTTTGTTTTGTATTATCTTCAGTTGCAGGCACTTGTACTTGGTCAGTTCTCAAAGTATTTGTTGTACTTTCATCAGCATGCAGTGCATTGTTCTTATTACTAGGAACTACTTGGTCTATTCTAAAATTATCACGGGAAATGTTACTCATAACATCCTTTGTTTCTAAATTATTACTAATATTATTTTGACATTGTGGATCACATGCATCGAAAGCATTAGACAAATTTCTAGATGTGCTTTTGGTACGCTGATAAGAATTATTTGTACTAATGTTCTCTTTCTGTTGTTCTGGAGATTCTTGCCTTATATCAGGTTGTGCTTGTTTCTCTGGTGGCAATACATTTGGTGTCCAAAACAGATGGCGATTTTCATAAATATGTAACAGCAATTCTGAACAATCAGTTCTACAGATTGTAAGCTTAGGTGGTGGTGGTACTCCACTTAAAAATTTATTGATTTTGGCTAATAAATTATTATCAGATGTAGCAACTAAGTCAGCTTGAGAAGGTTTCTCAGGACTAGCTGGCACTGCCACTGTCTCATCTTCTAATGTTTCATTCTTTTGCTGATCATCTTCGTCATCACTGTTGAACATCTCTGGACTAGAGATGTTTGGAAGTTCTTTTTCTGCTGCAAGACTTCCATTTCTATTGGAATAACAGCAATCCATGGCATTGTCTATAATAAATAAATAAAGCAGGATAGAAACACTAAAATATTTTTCTTCAACATGTGGACTATTTAAACAGAACTATTTCGTTTTTCATTTCATGTTACGTTTACAGTGTTATTTTATCCGCATTCAGTTTGAAGTTTAAATGCATTCAAGTAAGGCTCGGTTATGAGCAAGGGCCGTGAAATGTTTGTTATAGCAACGAAGGTTATCGAATCTTGTACGAAAATGTTCGTTACGAAATAGTACGATGATAAAGGGACATGCCAGGTTTTTACATGACTTATATCTTAACTACGCATTGTTGAGTAATTAGATAACACTTAGCACTCGTTTCTGAACACGGTTAGCTCGTTCCTTTTTACGACCCACCGTAAAACATGGGACACAACGGATACTCCATTTTAAAGTAAATAAATAGACAAAATTCTCACAAAAAAATACTTGGTGCACCAATCTCCGCGTACTTACGTCTTCTAATTTATCAACGTTCAAATTTTCTTCGCTTGATAATTCACTGGCTAAAAGTCAAATTCAGCTGTTTCATGTCCTGATAACACCCAGTCTGCTACGAACAACACTGGCACGTATGTCATGTATGTCATACACCTGACGACAGCCCATTTAAAACATTCAGGCTGATATACATGTACTGCTGTATTGTTTTCCCAATTAAATTTCTTAGCGCAAAAAGCATGTTTATGTTTATTAAATGTTCTTAATTTTTATTTCTCAACATTTTATGCTTTTAAGTTCCGATAGAAATGTACATATATGTAGAAAACGATCTAGAATATGATTCATTTAATGCATTTATCTTAAGAAATAAGATTATCTGTAAAAATTATCTAAGAAAAACTGTCGACAGTTTTAAACGTGGCAGAACATACGATTGTGTACATATATTGCGAACATATATGTGTACACATTGTATAGTATACAGTAGTATATACAATGGAACAATGATTCTTTTTTCATTCTTCAAAGTGAGACGTCACTGCATTAAATTTCTTCGATGGCATTATCGCTCTGAACCACTCTGAATACCAGATCACAAGAAAAAACGCATCAAATTCAAGTAAATAGTAGGTGATAGTAAGCATCGACTAGGTATAGAATAGACCTATCATTCAATGCTCTTTTTTGTCCTACATTCGGAGGGCTACGTAACCCTCTTACCATTTCAGTGCCAATACCCGACGTTACCGATAAAGCATGAATTCTGAGTATTATTAGCACAAATGGAGCATTATATATTCCATTCATTCAATATGATTTGGTGAGTATAAAAATATCCGATGCTTCGGTTTAAAAGATGAATATTGTAATAGTGATGAAATATGATAACATATTCTAAATTTCATCGTTAATGAACATTTTAGTAATGTTACGTTTCCCACGTTCCCTTTTTATTCGTTTTTATATTTTTCTTAGCTGATAACGTGATATAAGAATCCTAATACGCACAATCAATTACCTTCTGGTAATTGGTGAGGAAGTAATTAAACAATGAACTTCGACCAACTAGAGCTTAGCTAGTCAAGCTTTCTTCATGAAAAATAGTTTTGATCTATTATTTAACTGGTAATATCTATTGTATTGTATTTCATAAACTTTGGCATCATTGTCAAATTGACAGCATATATTTATCATAGATGGCGTTAGAGAACCATTGGAGGATTGAAAACTTCGAGAAGACGAGAGTAAAATTAATACTTTCGATCTATTAGGAAGTGGAATATCACATTTTCGGGGATAGCGTGTTTCTCTTTGTTTCCCTTTCATGATAGTCATTCCCTCCTGAATTAATCTCGGGTGCATATAAGAAAATATATTGAAATATAATTCAGCGGTAAATATTCTATTTCGTTCAAATAGAAAGTTGAGCAAGCAGGAAAGCGACCAATCCTCACGTTCTTCACCAACCGACGCACCAATCACAGGCCTTATACATAACCGAATCAACCAATGACAGCCAGTCAGCAGCGTAACGGTCGTTCATCTCAGGGAAGCTGGACTGATTAGACGTGTAGTGATCTCGCTCGTGGCGAAGTAAGTATTATTACTTTTCACTTTAAATTATTTATGCTATTAGTATCTACATTACCACTCTATCGTTACATTTGTTTAGTATCTATTCAATTCAATGCAAATAATCGTAAATTAACTCGGTATTGCTGGATAAAGTGAACTGGTTTCACGATTTCTGTTCTCTCCCGGTACCAATTAGTATTTACGCAGTTTTTGTTTAATTTGCAATCTTTAGCGATACTCTTTGAGTCAATAATTGTTTCGTTGTGACTCAGTCATTGTTAATTTAGTATAATTACTTAGTATTAACGTTTATTTTCTGTTCCAGAATTCTGGCTAGAAAGAACGCGCCAACGATGCCAATCCCATTAGACGCAATTTGGCGGGAAATTGGTGAATTCTGGTGATGTATTACAACAAAATAGTTAATATTCCACTAGATATTTTTATTTTAGTACACTTTTACTGTTTTGACCGTAAACTTGATCGCGATTTTCTGATTAACTGTGCTGAAAGCAAACAAGAATTTTTTCGAGAAATATTTCGCGTTCAAACGCAATTGAAGCATTCAATATGGCTTCTTGTTTGACCATTAGGAAATTTAAACGGGAATGTTCCAGAAGTTTCAATTCGAAATACTCATAGTTTACTGGATCTCGGTCGCGAAATTGTTTAAATTTTAATAATTTTTCGAGTTTATCATTACGATGTCATCGTATTTGTATTTATACATATACGGTTTCGAGTGTAAGTTTAATTATACATATAGAAGCTGCGTAGTTTACGATGCTCATGGAAGCTTAAGTAAATAACGAAGCCTTAATCCTTGCAACGATTTTCTCAATATTTATAAAATTCGGTACGCGATGTAGACAGAAATAACGAACATTCTTAAACTCTAACGACGAATGTCTTCAATATAATATATTAGTAACAAATATATATCAGTAATGAATATAATATATTGAAACAATGGAGAATTATTTTGGAATATTTTTTAACTATGGTACCTTTGCGTAGTTAAATTCATATTTGAATATTTATCGTCGAATGACAGTATTTTCATGATAAAAACACTTGGTAAAATATAAAAATAAAAGGGCTAAGCCGGTGCACGTGCGCCGTATTGTATTTCTTTCCCCCCTTTTTTTTCCACAGTATTTGGTGGCCGCGTGCAAGGCGGTCGAGTCGAGTCAGTGTTTGTTTACATCGAAGTTTTTTCTGTTTATGCGGAGCGAACTGGCGCCGATTAGGATCTCACCGGAGATGTATTATGGTCTTCGCGGAACTAGAGTCAGTGTTTGTTGCGTACAATCTCAAATTATTTTCAGAGTTTCGGGACACTCTTTGCTTTGTGTGTCGCGAAAGTAGAATCATTTGTTCGCCGGTTGAGATTTTCGGTCGCGATAGTTTTTTATTTTCATTTTTTTTCTACTTGAAAGTACTCGTTCGCGAAAGTAGAGTCAGTGCATCACTGAAGTGGATTTTTGGGCGAAGCTCTACAAATAGAGATTGTAAGTATCCTTATATTTTATTACTTACACTGTTCAACTGAAACAGCTAGAGTTTTGAGAAGAGGTTATTACGTGTTCCGTTCCTTTGTTTCAGATATATCAGATGCTGCATAAACAAACACTGCAGAGGATGTCCTTGGGCGAAGCTGCACCATTTTTCAAGATTCGTTGAGAGAGAATATTAAAGGGAGTTCTTCAGTCATCGGGTGAGTGAATGTTTTTATTCCTCCAGTCCCCAATCATGTCGTATGACGATTGGTCCTAAACAGCACGGGCGACTGGTTGTATACGTGCTTTTGGCGAGTACAGTGAAAACGGATATGCAATCGTACGATTGCATATTCGCGAGTAATATATGATCTGTTATGTTTCTTAGTTAGGTTAAGGAATTCTTGTACGCCGCGTTTATTATTAGTAACATAATTCATAACTATTTTGTATTAAAAGACTATGAGTTGACTATTTAATGTTCGGCTTAAAGGCGAACATCATACAGATGAAATCACATTGGTTATGATGTACTTTCTTTAAGTGTTCAATTTAACATGAGATATTAATCTTGGATATTTCAATAGAGATCATTCTATTGTTTAAATAGTTGTTATTTTTTTATCAATTGAGTATATATTGAGAACGTGGTAGTATGTTATTTATTTCACTAGAAATGATTTTCACTGATGATGATATGTGCAATAATTTCAGTATAGTCATTTTAATACAGTCGTTTGGTATCATTTATGAATGTAGAACGAAATACGATCTACATAAGGAAAATTGCAGAACATAGAAAATACAATATATTCACAATGGTCTATAAATAACGGTCAGCTGATTAAAAGAATAATAATCAACTTGTTAACGTGTGAAATAAATATCAACCGTAGATTCGAATATAGAGTAGAAAGAACAGAAACCACACCGGTATGTTTAAAATAGAGGGGAAAACGTGGTGGTGCCTTCTTTGATAGGCATGTTATAGCAGTTAGCGCAATACCACGAGACGCGACAGCACGTTTCAATCCCGGAACCAGTGTCGCGAGACACAAAGGTATCATTCGTATTTGCAAGTTCCATGAAATAATGGAACACGTGTACTGGGAATCGCGATAAAGTATCGGTGCATAAAAAGAAGACGTATTAAGTTATGTCACCTGTGCATCGATATGCACGACCTAGTGAAAAACCGCGTGTTATGGAACAATTTAACACGTTGTGCATGTATGACCATTGAACAGTGCATTGTGATTTCCAGTTATCGTGGCCGGTGTTTTCGTTGCCAATGGCAAAGAACGCATACGGTTGCGTACACGGGTAGAGTACCGAGACGTACTGGCGTGTACTCACGTCCACTTTAATGGAGTGTGAGCGTTAAATGCAGGGAAGGTACTACTGTGTTTCACCAGCATGTATAGTGTTCCACAAACATATTTGTATGGTCGACGTATATACTCAGAAGGAATGAGTATTTATATTCTGTCCTTTAAAAAAGGGCAGGCCCAGAGGTGTCCATCTACTCTTGCGAGCAGCATTCTTTCCCTCCGGAGGTACCCTGACTATGGGACTTGGATTGACTCGCTCGAGTCAATCTGAGGTCGGTAGTCGGGGAAACCTACGAGGGGAAGCTTGTAATTGCTTGTAGCTCGTGGGCGGCATTTGGACACCTTTGGTATTAGAGTTAATTTTTATGATAATTAGTATTTAATAAAATTTTATTTCACCCATTAGTCTGTTAATTATTATTTTCAACAGTTATACCGTCATTTGTAGACAAATAACTAAATGAATATAACTTAAATTTATTTACTATTTGAATACAGTATATAATATATCAGTTTACTTGAGAATATGCAATTCTAGATTAACAGTTTGTACTGAATTATATCAGAAATACGTACTACCACGTTGCTCTAAGACATAAATAAAAATTAAGTAGTGTATTTTGATACACTAAAAAAAATGATATTACAGACCATGTACAAGAAGGCGTTTCGCGACGGGTAGA